CAGAGGGAGTGAGCAGGGAAAGCATTCTACCCTGAGCAATACAGAGACTCACTCTATCTCCCAGGCTGGAGGGCAGTAGCACAATCTTGGCTCACTCCAACCTCAGCCTCCTATGTTCAAGTGATTCTCATGCCTCAGCCTCCTGAGCAGCTGAGACTACAGGCATACAACACTGCGCCTGGCAAATTTTTATATTTTCAGTAGCAACAGGGTTTCACCATGTTGGCCAGGCTGGTCTTTAACTCCTAGCCTCAGGTGATCCTCCTGCCTCAGCCTCCTCAAGTGCTGGGATTACAGTCATGAGCCACCACACCTGGCCTCTAAGCAATAAATCTTTTTTTTAATTAGAAAAATCCCCATTTGGCAATCATCATAGCAGTAACAGACTCAGACCAGCATCATCAGTGGACGCTAAACCTAGGAGGTTCACAATTCGATGAGACCACAGAATACTTACAAGTATCTCACCACAATTACTCATTAATTACAAAGGAAACAACTGAGAGCTTTACAGCCAAGAAACCTAGCAGACCCCACCTTAATCAAGAGATCCAAGCTAATGTCACCAACGCTGTACAAATGGACAGCAGGTGCCACCTGACAGGAGGCTGCCTCACTTCTGCGGTGTCCTACCAACAGGCTTCCTGGAATGCAGGCATCAGGAAGCATCTCTCAAACCCAGACGGAGGCTGTTTCACAACATGACTGCCTCGCACCCTGCAAAATGTCAGTATCGGCCAGGCGTGGTGGCTCACACCTGTAATCCCAGCACCTTGGGAGCTGAGGCAGAACTTCAGCTCAGGAGTTTGAGACCAGCCTGGCCAACATGGTGAAACCCCATTCTCTACTAAAAATACAAAAAATTAGCCAGATGCGATGCTGTGCTCCTGTAATCACAGCTGCTTGGGAGGTTGATGCAGCAGAATCACTTGAACCTGAGAGGCAGAGGCTGCTGTGAGCTGAGATCGCTCCTCTGCACTCCAGCCTCGTGGGTAAGAGCAAAATGCTCTCATAAAATAAAAAAAAGAAAGAATTATCATGTCTGCACCCTAAGAAAACACAAGTCAGGAATGAAATCATAAACAGAGTAGACATACATGTACATATAGAGAGAATATGAATATGAGAATGATCAATAAAATGTAATATGTTAGCAACTGATTAATCTGGGCAAAGGACCTGTGGGATTCTTTGTACTATTCTTGCAACTTTTCTACAAGTCTAGTGTTACATCAAAATAAAAATTTTCTAAAAAAATATGCCTGGAAACCCTGCACCCACCTCTCCCTCCTGGAGATACACAATGTCTGTTAGCATTTTAAAGGCTCTGACAAGTCCTACATAAGGAACCCTATTCAGTTTTTAGTTAGCAGATTTTCTTTGTCAGAATGCATATTCATTTCTCACAAAGGGGAATCCTCTAGGCCCCTTTATCTAAAACTGTGTATACGCCAGTGTGAGATGCTGAAATTGGAACATCAGTGGGCTTGGGTGGACTGAATCTACTTTGCAGTTCCATAGAAAGTGCTTGCCCCTGCCCCATGGTGTTCCCCAGGCCCTCACCCTCTCAAAGTGTCTCCTTCTGCTTCAGCCTTCCTGCGAGTGTCAGAAGGTGGGGCATCGCTGCCCAGCCAGCCACCGTGTGCCGGGTTTGGCTCTGTAAGGTCAGGACCTGGCCTCCCCTCCTTTCCTCAGATGCCTTGAGGAGCAGCTGTGCCATGTTCTGGTCCAGTAGTGCCTTGGAAAACAGCCAAATCCTAGACGGTGAAGTAAGGGGGTTAAGATCAGGCTTTGTAGTCAGGCAAAGCTGGGTTCCAAATAGCAGGATAACCTGGGACAAGCTCTCTGAGCATCCGCTTCTTCTTATGTGAAGTGGGGAATAAAGTGGACATACTGATATCGAGCGTTTTTTGGTGGGCGGGGAAGACTCACCCAGGCTGGAGTGCAGTGGCACGATCTCGGCTTACTGCAACTTCCACCTCTGAGGCTCAAATGATTCTCCTGTCTCAGTCTTCCAAGTAGCTGGGATTACAGGCCCCCGCCACCACACCTGGATAATCTTTGTATTTTTAGTAGAGACGGGGTTTCAGCATATTGTCCAGGCTGGTCTTGAACTCCTGACCTCAGTTGATCCACCTGCCTCAGTCTCCCAAAATGCTGGGACTATAGGCATGAGCCACTGTGCCTGGCCCTGAACTGAAATTGATATTGATTCTGACAGGTACTCACCCAGGTGTGACAGAGGGTGTTTCCACCTATGGCCACCCCTTCCCACACACTCTCCTGCAATGTGACTTTGCCACTCCTGCATTAAGATGTGAGATCTATTTCCTCTCCCTTTGAATCAGGGCTAGCCTTGTGACCTGTGTTTTGGTCAATAGAATGTGGCATAAGTGACACTGTAGAACTTTCAACGTAGAACCCTAAGATCTGCAACTTTCACCTTCCACAGGAACACTTCCTCTTGGAACCCAGACACCTGGTAGGAAGTCTGACCAACCTGAGACTGCCATGATGTGAGGAAGCCCAAACAGCCACTTGAAAAGAGAGAGGGGGGTTGCATGTGGAAGAGCACCAAGGTGCCACACATGGGAAGGAAGCCGCCACTCCGTCCTCAGCCCATGCACACAGCTGGCTGGTAACTGACTCGTCTGAAGGCTGATGTCAGTGAAGAGTCTCAGAGAATGACCCCTGCTGATGCCACATAGAGCAGAACTGCCTAAGCCTTGTGGAAACTTCTGACCCACAGAATCATGAGCACACAAAATGGTTGTTCTTTAATCTCTAAGCTTTGGGGTAGCTCACTATGCAGCAACATCTAACCAACGCACTCTCTGCCATGCACCGTGCACTTTAGATGCACTGACTCCTTACAAAAGCCCTGTGAGTTTTGAGAATATTATGATCGCCAATATACAGATGAGGAAACAGGTAGACAGAGAGTCACATATCCAAAGCTCAAGCAGCTAGCAGCGCCCAACACACAGGGCTGTTTACAATTAAATCAACTTTGGAATACAAGATGCCTGCTCCTGGGTCATAATGAGTGATTGAGAGATGTGAGAAAAGGAACAGACTTGTGAAGCTTGATGTTAAACTGGCTGGAAAACTGTGGCAGGGGACGCAGTTCCTATGATCACACAGTGAATTCCTTACATGACACCATGAGAGAGACTTCCCTTGAGCTTCACCACTAGGAACAAGATGAGCCGTGCATTTCATGGTGCACAGCTGCGGAGTGTGTGTGTGCACTTTCTGAAGGCCACTGCAAATACTACTACTTTTTGGTTTCTCTCTTTGCATTGGCTGCTAGGAAACTCAGAGCCAAATCTTCAGTTGAGCTCTAAAAAACACAGAGGAACACATGGCATCCATTTTGTTTGCTGATATTACTTCGAGCATCTTCCTATTTTTCTTTTCCCTTCCCCCAGCTTCCTCGTGTATCTTTTTAAAATCTAGAACAAGGGCTGGCAAACTACAGCTTGTGGGCCCCAACTGGCCCACCACTTGTTTTTATAAATAAAGTTTTATTGGATCACAGTCAGGCACATTATTTATGAATGGTCTGTGACACTCTTGTGCCTCAATGGCAGGGTTGCGTAGTTGCAACAGCGACCACACGGTCCGCAAAGCAGAAAATATTTACCATTTGGCCTTTTACTGAAAGTCTGCCAACTCCTGACCTAGAACAAGGTACATTTTAATAATGTGCCTCAAATCCTTTTCAGACTGGGGATGAGGACGGACAGGTGGACATGTGGGTGGACAGACAGCTGTGGTGGCAATTCTGAGGACAAGGTTATCTGGGACCACGTTCACGGCCGAGGGTCTCCTTAAATCCATGCCTAAAGCTGGAACAAACCTGGGACTGCAAAGGACACTTTTTTGTTTTTTTGAGACAGAGTTTTGCCCTTTTTGCTCAGGCTTAAATGCAATGGCACGATCTCGGCTCACTATAACCTCTGCCTCCCGGATTCAAGCAATTCCCCTGCCTCAGCCTCCTGAGCAGCAGGGATTACAGGCACGCGCCATCACACTTGACTAATTTTGTATTTTTAGTAGAGACTGGGCCTCTCCATGTTGATCAGGCTGGTCTCAAACTCCTGACCTCAGGTGATCAGCCCGCCTCAGCCTCTCGAAGTGCTGGGATTACAGGCCTGAGCCACCACGCCCGGATCACAGAGGAAATATTTAATGGAGACCTAGTTTGTACCAGAATATGCAGTACTCAAAATAGCAGAATATAGTGATGTAATAGGAAATATATCCTTAGTCTCTGCCCCTAATCCTTGACACAGAGCTCCTAATCCCTTGGAAGTAGGACATGCCTTTTGTTGATAGGAGCACCTTTGGTTCTAATGAGGTGACTCTTGGCGGCTTCCTGGATTGGAGTGGTCAGCAGAAAGACCAAGCCATGATTAGAGCTTGGAACTTGAATCCTCTGAGAAGGGGAGAATGGCTGGAGACTGAGTTATTCGGCAGTCACGCCTACATGATGAAACCACCATAGAAATCCCTGAACCATGGGGCTCACAGAGAGCTTCTGGGCTGAACACACAGAGGATGCTGAGCCCAGAGAGGGCAGGGAAGCCCAGAACCCCTTCCCCCATACCTTGCCCTATGCGTCTCTTCCATCTGGCCATTCTCCAATCATAGCCTCTATAAGCAATGAGTAAATATAAATAAAAGGTTTCCCTGAATTCTGTGAGCCATTTTCGCAAATGATCAGACACAAGATGGGAGGAGGTCATAGGGACCTCTGAGTTATAACCAGTTGGTCAGGAGGCAGAGGAGAGCCCAGAAGCAGAGGGTAGACAGAAAGGGTCCACAGGAACCTGAGTGTGGGGAAGGACCCCCTCCTCCAGGAAGCCCTCCTGATCCCCTCCAGCTCTCGAGCACTCACCAAGCACAGTGGGAGCTGAACCTAGGTTCTTCCATTGTGATGGGAGCAGTCATGGTAGATAACATGAAGAATTATAATAATCTACAACTAATAATGTGTAATGATGTCTAAAAGGTGGCTCATGCCTGTAGTCCCGGCACATTGGGAGGCTAAGGCAGAAAAACTGCTTCAGGCCAGGAGTTCAAGACCAGCCTGGGCAATATAGTAAGATCCTGTTCCTACAAAAATAGTACAAAAATGTAGCCAGGTGTGGTGGCGAGCCTGTAGATCCGGCTACTAGCAAGGCTGAGGGGAATGGTGTCTAAGCTTGTGGGCAGTCTGCACACTTTACCTGAGGGGGCTGATGCCACCTCCAGGGTCAGAACTCAGTTAATTTGTAGGACAACCAGTTAGTGTCCACCAGAGAATTGCTTGCTAGGGAAAAAGACCCCCCGCCCCTGGTCACACAGGCGTCATGTCTGAGCACCCAGAGGACAGTAGCAGGGAAGTCTGGCATTTCGTTTGACACCTGCAGCAAAGAGGGTACCCACTGAGCATGCCCACTGGCCCTGGCATGGAACTCACATGCAGCGCTCAGTTCATCCACCCTAAGAAGCAGGGGGAGAAACTGAGGCACAGAAGGGAGAGTGGTCCCAGAGGCAGCAGTGGCAGAGCCAGGACCTGAACCCAAGTGGCCAACCCTGGACCCCACCATACTGGACACATCTGTATGTAAATATATACTCAGATGTGAGACCAGAGGGAGACACACGTTCTTTGGGTCACTAGTGATTTTGTTTCATTCATTTTTACATTATTACTATTATTGCTATTTTAGCAACAGGCTCATTTCACTCTGCCGCCCAGGCTGGACTGCAATGGTGCAACCATAGCTCACTGCAGCCTCCAACTCCGAAGCTCAAGCAATCCTCTCACCTCAGCCTCCCAAGTAGCTGGGATTACAGGTGCATGCCACCACATCTGGCTTTTAAAAATATTTTGTACAGATGGGGTCTCACTATGTTGTCCAGGCTGCTCTTGAACTCCTGAGCTCAAACAATCTTCCCACCTCAGCCTCATGAGGAGCTGGGACTACAGGTGCACCCCACATCTGGCTAATATATTTTTTAATTTTTTGTGGAGATGGGGTCTCGTGGTATTGCATAAGCTGCCCTGGAACTCCTGAACTCAAGCCATCCTCCTGCCTCAGCCTCCCAAAGCCCTGGGGTGTGACCCATGGTGCCCTGCCCTTACACATCATCCTTTAAGCCATCTACAATCAACGCTCTCATAACAATACAAAAAAGAAAGAAAGGGTCAAAGTGGAAAACTGAATGCCACCTGCTTTTGACGCCCTCAGTGGCACCGATGGGGCTGACTTGGGTGTGGTTTCAGAGGGACAGAGAGGGGCCTCTGAGTGAGGATTTCCCATGTCCCAAGACACGTGCCTTTTGCCCTCTATGGTCTCCCCACCTCGTCGCAGGCCACCTAGAGACCGTTACCTTGCTGGGGTGATCTTTCCAAACAGCTGCAGCCGAACAGCCCTGGGGGCGCTGAAGACAGCCTGGTGGAGAAGGACACTCACGCCCCAGCCCGGCCGCTCCTCCGAGTGTCCTGGCTGGCGTCGACCTCCAGCAGAACCAGCTCCCAGCCAGACATTCGCACAGATAGAAACCTATTGAGGCTGCGCACTCTGTAGTGCCTGGCAGCTGCCTGCACCTGCAGGGAGGCAGGGGAAGGACAGGGAGGGTCTGTGGGATCCTGGGTGTGGGGGAGGGCTGCCTCCTCCTCCAGGAAGCCCTTCTGGGCCACTCCAGCTTTGAGCACTCACCAACCATGGTAGACAGCACACAAACAGGAAGAGAGACAGAGGGAGGAAGGGGGAGCTAGCCCACCCCAGCCCCAGCTCCCGGACCAGGAGTACAGTCTTATCTTGACCTTTCCACCACACGTGAAATGGGAGTTCTTACTGTGAAATGGAGAAACTGAGGCTCTGAGAGGGTCACATAGGCCACCTGAGTCTGCCTAGCTCTAAAACTTGTGCCAGTGCCTGAAGAGGCTGGTTGGGGAAGCAGAGGACATCTTTTCAACTCCTCCACAGAAAAGGAGGCCCTATAGAGTGCCTGCAAGGAACCAGAGGACCCAGAATTTCTGGGGTTCAAAGGGGATGGCATCTGAGTACCCGTGTGGTCAGGCTGGGGTGAACACGTGGCTGGGCCCAACAAGGGTATTGAGGGGAGCAGTGTGGGGTATGAGCAGAGAGGCCCAAGGCTCTACCAGCTCCTTGGGACCTGAATCCCTCCCTTTCCTGATCTGGGCCTCAGTCTCCCCATCTGCAAAGTGGGTTTAGCCCTGTGGTTCTCAATCCAGCCTGTGCATTACAATTTTTGTTTTTTTTAATTTTCTGAGATGGAGTCTCACTGTGTCACCCAGACTGAAGTATAGTGGTGCAATCTTGGCTTACTGCAACCTCCACCTCCTAAATTCAAGTGATTCTCCTGTCTCAGCCACCTGAGTAGCTGGGATTACAGACACCTGCCACAATGCCCAGCTAATTTTTTTTGTATTTTTAGTAGAGTTGGGTTTACTTTATTGCCCAGGCTGGTCTCAAACTCCTGACCTCAGGTGATCTGCCCGCCTTGGCCTCCCAAAGTGCTGGGATTACAGGGGTGAGCCACCATGCCCAGCCTGGAAAGCTTTTAAAAGAATGCCTGGTGCCTCCATAGCTGAACTGATAAATAAAATACGATACATCCACACAATGGACTATTATCCAGTGCTAATATGTAATGAGCAATTAAGCTGAAAGTGACATAGAGGAGGCCAAGCATGGTGACTCACACCTGTAATCCCAGCACTTTGGGAGGCCAAGGGAGAAGGATCACCTGAGGTCAGGAGTTCGAGACCAGCCTGACCAACATGGAGAAACCCTGCCTCTACCGAAAATACAAAAATTAGTCAGGCATGGTGGCGCATGCCTGTAATCCCAGCTACTCAGGAGGCTGAGGCAGGAGAATCTCTTGAACCCAAGGGGCAGAGGTTGTAGTGAGCCAAGATCATGCCATTGCACTCCAGCCTAGGCAAAAAGAGCAAAACTGTCTGAAAAAAAAAAAAAAAAAGACATTGAGGAAACTTAAATGTATATTACCAAGTGAAGAAGCCCATCTGAAAAGGCTGCACACCATATTCCAGCTCTGTGACATTCTGGAAAAGGCAGAATCACAGCGAGTAAAAAGAGCAGTGGTTGCCGGCGGGTGGAGTGTAGGAGGGATGAAAAGGTAGAGCCCGGAGGATTATTTAGGGCAGAGAAACTTCTCTGAATGACGCTGTAATGGCAGATCCATGACTCTATATGCATCTGTCAAACCCATAGACTGGCAGGGCACGATGACTCACACCTGTGATCCCAGCACTTTGGGGACCAAGGCAGGAGGACTGCTGGAGGCCAGGAGTTTGAGACCAGCCTGAGCAACAGAGCAAGACCCCCTATCTCTACAAGAATCGAAAACCCTAGCTGAGCGTGGTGATGTGCATCTGCAGTCCCAGCTACTCAGAAGGCTGTGGTGAAAGGATGGCTGGAGTCTGGGAGGTGGACGCTGCAGTGAGCCATGATCATGCCGCTGCACTCCAGCCTGGGTGACAGAGCAAGACCCCGTCTTAAAAATTAACATAAAATGGCCAGGCACATTAGCACATGCCTATAATCCCAGCACTTTAGGAGGCTGAGGCAGGCGGATCACCTGAGGTCAGGAGTTTGAGACCAGCCTGGCCAACACAGCAAACCCTGTCTCTACTAAAAATACAAAAATTCGCTGGGCGTGGTGGCGGACGCCTGTAATCCCAGCTACTCCTGAGGCTAAGGCAGGAGAATCTCTTGAACTTGGGAGGCAGAGGTTGCAGTGAGCCAAGATCGTGCCACCACAGTCCAGCCTGGGCGACAGAGCCAGACTCCATCTAAAAAAACAAAACAAAAACAACTAAAATTAATCTTTGAGCCAGGTGCAGTGGTTCATGCCTGTAATCCCAGCACTTTGGGAGGCCGAGGCGGGTGGATCACCTGAGGTCAACAGGAGCTCAAGATCAGCCTGGCCAACGTGGTAAAATCCCATCTCTACTAAAAACACAAAAAATTAGCCAGGCATGGTAGCATATGCTTGTAATCCCAGTTACTTGGGACACTGAGGCACGAGAATCGCTTCAACCTGGGAGGCTGAGGTTGCAGTGAGCCAAGATTGGGCCACCACACTCCAGCCTGTGCGACAGAGTGAGACTCTGCCTCAAAAATAATAATAATAATAATCTTTGAACCCATTAGATGATCCAGCATCCATGCTTCCAGGGGAACCCACCCCCACTCCCCAGTGAGTTCAGGGAATCGCATGAGCTCTGAAGCCAGACACCTGGGTTCCCATCCAAAATCTTCCTCTCGTGAGCTCCATCATCTTGGGCAAGTCACGCCACCTAAGTCTCAAAACCATACACCCAAAATGGTACCACAGTGCTCCACACCCCACACAATAGCATCAAGAGGTGTTCACAAGATAATCCACAAGGAGGGTTTAGAACAGGGCCTGCCATGCAATCACTCCACAGACGTCAGCTCCTAGAACGAATGGTTCATATGATGGCGTTTCCTCTGATCTAAGATGCCAGCAGTGCTCAGATGGGCCGTGATCTTAGGGAATGGCACAAAAGCAAAAGGTTGCTAGTGAAACGGTGACCTGTGTCCTTGTATAGATATATCCTGACTTCGGGGACATCAACCTGTGAAAGCTCGTGCCTCTCAGAATAAGCAGATTCCTCCATTCAGAGCCATTCTTCAGCTCCATTCAATTTCCTAAAACCCAACACACAGGGAATGCACAGCAGGTGTTTGAAAAATGCTGTCAGGGCTGAACGCAGTGGCTCATGCCTGTAATCCCAGTACCTTTGGAGACCGAGGGAGGAGGATCACATGAAGCCAGGAGTTCAAGACCAGCCTGGGCAACACAGTGAGACCCTGTCTCTGCCAAAAAAAAAAGAAAAAATACAAAAACTAGCCAGGTGTCGTGGCACATGCCTGTGGTCCCAGCTACTCAGGAAACTGAGGTGGAAGGATCGCCTGACCCCATGCAGTCAAGGCTGAAGTGAGCCGTGATTACGCCACTGCACTCCAGCCCAGGAAACAGTGAGATCCTGGCTCAAAAGAAATTTATCTTGAAATTTCTCAGGCTAGGTAAAGTGGCTCATGCCTGTGATCTCAGCACTTTGGAAGGCTGAAGCAGGAAAACAGCTTGAGGCCAAGAGTTTAAAACCAGCCTGGGCAACATAGTGAGACCCCACCTGTAATTAATTTTTTCTATTGATATCAAATTAGTGGTCTGCCCCACACCTCCTGAGGGCCTCATCCCTGTCAGGATTTCCTATGTGCACCTCCATGTCCCTGAATTAGCCACCACCTAATTCCTGTGCAATCACCACGCACACCCTGCTCAATGAAGCCACAAACTTCACTGGGGACAGGGCTCTCTAGGGCCCCGGCCCTGGGGGCTTCCAACTGGATATCTTTCTCCACCTCTTTATTTCCACACTGGGCAAAATACCCTGGGTCAATAAAGCCCTCTTGAAACATTACACGGCTTCTCCCAAGCCCAATAGAGGGCACAGTTAGGAGGAAAATTCTGTTTCTGTCCATTTTCAAGAGTGAAATATGGTCCTTCATCCCCACCCCCTGGAGGCTAAAACCCTTCTTGCCTGGACAATCACTTCCAAATGATGGATTTGGAAACCTCCCTGCCATCTGTTCTTGGTTCTGCAGAGGCCGTTTGGCTAAGAACGACGCTGCAAGTGCGGCCTCCCTCCCTCGGGCCCCTAACCTGCCTTCCTTCCATCCACCGCCCAGCAGGCCGGCTTCTCACAGACAACCCTTGGCAGGCAAGTCAAGGTCATCCCCGAGGGAGCAACATCCATACCTGGAAGTTTGGAGGAAATGCTGGTCTGTGGGGATGTCTGAGTTGGAAGAAAAACGCAAAGTTGGAGTGCGATCTGTTCAGCTGGACCGAGACCTGTTTCGGGGAGAGTTGGAAAAGGGTCGCAAGGAACAGAGACAGAGATGCAGAACCCCGGGCGATGGCTGCTGGGCAAATGCATCCCAGAATATGCCCAGAGCTCAAGCCAGAAACGTTAGTCCTCCCTCAATGTTCCTCAGCCCTAAATCTTACTCAGGCTGCACTCCTGAGAAAGGATGCTTAGGAAGTGAAGCCCTGGATGGGGGCACTGGGAAGACCACTCCAGGACCCCCTATTCCCTGCCATGGTGCCTGTTCAAACCCCCCACAGCCACGCCACCTTCTCCTTGACCCTGACCATGACACAGGCACTGTGCTACCAGGTTCACAATGACCATCTCATTTAATCCCCAATCCTGCTTTGCTGGGTTGGTGTTACCATCCCATTTCCCAGATAGCAAAACTGAGGCCCAGTGGTGTCCAGTATCTCAAGGTTACATAGCTCATTAACAGTGAAACTGGGAGATGAACTTGAACTTATCTAACACTAAAAGCCCACTAGACTTAAAGCTCCTCAGAGATGGGAACAGAGATGGGGACAGAGTCACCCTTGCAACCCCCAATGCACATCACAGAGCCTGGCACACAGCAGAGACACAACTCATCCATGCTGAATGAATGGACATGAAGACATACATGGATGAGCAAATGAACAGCCATGAATGAGTAAATATACCTGCAATGGCTGCTATATCTTTACCAAACTGCGTTTCCTTTTCTTCCTGGACATACAGCTAAAACTACATTTCCCAGCCTCCCTTGCATCTAGGTGGGGTCATGTGATGAGAACCCAGGCAGGAATGACCAACCTTTCGACTTACAGGTCTGGCCCATAAAAACCTCCTGCCTAATTCTCCACTGTCTCTCTCTCCATCTCTCATCTAGGACAGAGCCACAAGGTGGGGAGGCCTGGATCCTGAGAGACTGCATGGAGCAGAGCCTCGCTGAGCTGAGACATGAACACTGGCCTTTCACAAGGAGGCAAACATTAGTTTATAATAGTCAATGCCTCCTGACTAATCACACACACACTGCCAAAATAAGGGCTGTGCTGTTGGCTTCCCAGGTTCATGTCTCCTGCCACCTCCTGAGACATTCCATACAGGGCACCTTCACTAAAGGTTATTAAAAACTGCCTCCCTATGCAAGGGAGCAGAACTCAGCCTCCTCACCTGGGATGTGACGTGGTTGATGGCAGCTCGAGTATCCACGCCAAAATTGAACGTTCCTGGAGGACTCTGTCTAAAGATGATGCCCCCATCCAAGCTCAGGGCCTGGGGGAAGCTCAGCTGGGAAGAAACAGACAACACCCTTTACTTCCCTAACAGCCAAGCTCTGTGTGGAGGTCACAAACCAGTGTCTGCCCAAGCTGGGGACCTGTACCTGGTAGGAATGGGCCAAGTCCAGGGCTAGGCTGTGCCGGCTTTCCCCACGCTGAGATATGTCGTGATGCAAACCCTTTAAGTGCAGTACAACTTTCCGCTTGACTTTCAAAGTGGCCTCAACCTCCCTTTTCTTAGCCTAGGTGAGTGAGAACCAGAGGCACTGAGAGAGGTCCTGTCCCATCTCTACGTGCCTGCAGAAGCCACCCCGGGAACCCAGCGGTCAGAAGAAAGTGGTCCAAAGATTGATGGGATATGGAGCAGTCTATAGTGTTCCATCTATAGGGCAGGAAGTGGGGACGGGTACATGGGAATGGTGAATTCCAATGCCCACAGGTAAGACTGGCAGGGTGGGCATGATGGGACAAATGTGAATACCTGTGTCTTCTTCAAAGAGAGTGCCCTGGGAGTAGTCTGTTTTGTTCACTGCCCTAGTCCTAACACTTAGCACAGGTCCTGGCGTGTAGTAGGTGCTCAATAAATATTTGGGCAAATGCAGAATCCCTAGTTACAGCCTGAAACCCCAAGGCCAAAGCTGTGCTAGAGTGAAAGAATGCACAATTCTTTGTGGAGCTGGCAGAAGAACACTCATTCCACGATGACATCCATGTCCTCATCACTGAAACCTATAAATATGTGACCTTTCATGGCAAAAGAGACTTCGCGATGTGATTGGATTGAGAATCTTGAGATGGGGAGATTATCCAGGTGGCTCTAAATTAATCACAAGGGTCCTGTGAGAGGGAGGCAGGAGGGTCAGAGTCACACACCATGCTGTTGGCTTTGAAGGTGGAAGGGGCCATGAGCCAAGGCATGCAGGCAGCTTGTAGAAGCTGGAAAAGGAAAGAAAATGGGTTCTCCCCTGGAGCTTCCAAAAAGAACACAGCCCTACTAACACCTTGATTTTAGCCACGTGAGATCCAATCTGGACTTCTGAGCTCCAAAACTGTAAAATAAATCTGTGATGCTTTAAGCCACTAAGATTGTAGCAGTTTCTTACGGCAAACATAGCAAACTAATACACAACTGCTGAATTTATTCACTCAACAACCATTCAGATTCTGCCACAGGCCAAGTACACAGTAGCACGTTGCCATCTTTCCTACCTGTGCTGACTGAGAAGTTAAAACTGCCTGCTAAGAAGCTTTATTGTTGCTGTGCACCTTTAAAGGGATGCTCAGCTTCACGTTAGAACCAAGATGGAGGAAGAGAAATAAGGGTCCGAGAGGACTGAGAGAAATGCGAAATGAGAAAAATGTTTGTCATTAAACACACACGGCGGCTTTGTTTTGTTTTTTGAGACAGTCTCACTCTGTCGCCCAGGCTGGAGTGCAGTGGCATGACCTTGGCTCACTGCAAACTCCACCTCCCGAGTTCAAGTGATTCTCCTGCCTCAGACTCCTGAGTAGTTGGGATAACAGGTGCATACTACCACACCCAGCTTTTTTTTTTTGTATTAGTTCAGATGGGTTTTCACCATGTTGGTCAAGTTGCTCTCGAACTCCTGACCTCAAATAATCTCCCTGCCTCAGCTTCACAGAGTGCTGATATTACAGGTGTGAGCCACCACGCCCAGCGTAGACATAGTTTTAAAAAGAGCAGAGAGGCCTGGTGCGGTGGCTCACACCTGTAATCCCAGCACTTTGGGAGGCTGAGGCGGGAGGGTCACAAGGTCAAGAGATCGAGACCATCCTGACCAATGTGTGAAACACCGTCTCTACTAAAAAATACAAAAATTAACTGAATGTGGTGATGTGCGCCTGTAGTCTCAGTTACTCAGAAAAATGAGGCAGAAGAATCACTTGAACCAGGAGGCAGAGGTGGCAGTGAGCCAAGATTGTGCCACTGCACTCCAGCCTGGGTCAGAGCTAGACTGCGTCTCAAAAAATAATAATAATAAAAAAAAGAGCAGAGAGCCAAATTATACAAAATGAAAGGATTGCCATTTACTCAGTTTGTTGTTCTCAGCTGGGATTTGAAGCCTGGTATAGTCACATCTTCTGACTTTTTTTTTTCTTAGAAACAGCAGAAATCTGGATTTCACTCAAAATCTTCTGATTTTCAAATGTAGCAATTAATTTCCTCAAAAAATTTAAATGCTAAGCAGACCAAACTAAACCCATCTGCAGGTAGAATTTAACCCATGGTGCCGGCTCTGCAATCTCCGGCATAAGAAACAGCAAACACTATCGGGAGGCACTTTGCAGGTGTCTGAGGCTGTCATCCTGCCATTCGCTTTCCCCTAAAAGCTCCAAGAACTGGAAACACGGACACACACACACACACACACACACACTCTCTCACACACACACACACACACACACACACACTCTCTCACACAGCCTCATCTGACTAATGGTGAAGGGAGCCCCAGAAGGGTGGGTCTCAATGCGCAACACGTGCTTGGTTCACCCTCCTTCCCAGGGGCTGGGGTGCATCTTGCAAGAGACAAACAGCCAGGTGAGGCGGCTCACGCCTGTCATCCCAGCACTGTGGGAGGCTGAGGAGGGTGGATCACCTGAGGTAAGGAGCTTGCGATCATCCACACGAAAATGGAAAAACCCCATCTCTACTAAAAGTACAAAAATCAGCTGGGTGTGGTGGTGGGTGCCTGTAATCCCAGCTACTTGGGAGGCTGAGGCAGGAGAATCACTTGAACCCAGGAGGCAGAGGTTACAGTGAGCCGAGATCACGCAGCTGCACTCCAGCCTGGGCAACAGAGGGAGACTTGGTTGAAAAAAAGAAGAAAAAAAGGGATAGGAGGCGTCTGCACAGGAACCCGGGAGGTGGAGGGTTGCAGTGAGCTGAGATTTAATCACTGCACTCCAGACTCCAGCCGGGCAACAGAGGGAGACTCTGTTTCAAACAAACAAACAAACAAACAAACAAACAAACAAACAAACAAACAAACAGAGAGAGAGAAACAATGACTGTCTTCCTTGGGGGCCTAGCACACAGCACATGCTCCATAAATGCTTGCTGAAAAATGCGGTGATCGCCCAGAGTATCGACGCCTCCTAGAGGTGTCAGGAAGAAGCCTTGGACGGGGGGCTGTAGTTGGCATTTTACAATACTCCATTGTAATCTTCACAGCCCCTGCATAAGAGATGAGCACTACTGCCCCCATTCTACAGACAAGGAAACTGAGGTCCAGAGACATGAAATAATATGCCAAGGACACACAGGCAAAAACAAGTTTCACCCCTAAAGAGCCAAAATGTCAAGACCCTCATCCAGGCCCAGTGACTCTTATCTGTAACCACAGCACTTTTTTTATTTCTTGAGACCAAGTCTCTCTCTGTCCCCTAGACTGTAGTGAAGTGGTGTGATCTCCACTCACTGCAACCTCCGCCTCCTAGGTTCAAGTGATTCTCATGCTTCCGCCTCCCAAGTAGCTGGGATTATAGGCACCTGCCACCATGCCCAGCGAATTTTTGTAGTTTTTTAGTAGAGATGGGTTTCACCATTTTGGCCAGGCTGGTCTTGAACTCCTGACCTCAAATGATTCACCCTCATTAACCTCCAAAATTGCTGGGATTACAGGCATGAGCCACCATGCCTGGCCTAATCCCAGCACTTTGAAAGGTAAGGAAGGAGGATCCCTTGAATCTGAGAATTCAAGACCAGCTTGGGAAACAGAGAGAGATCTCCATCTCTACAAAACATTTTTAAAACGAGCTGGGCGTGGTGGTGCACACCTGTGGTCTCAGCTACTCAGGAGGCTGAGGTGGGAGGATCACGTGAGGCCAGGAGGTCAAAGCTGCAGTGAGTGAGCCATGATCGAGCCCCTGAACTCCAGCCTGGGTGACAGAGCAATACCCTGTCTCAGAAAAGACCCTCTAACTCAGGGGTCAGCATCTAAGGCCCCTGGTCCAAATGTGGTGTGTTTTAGTAAGTGAAGTCCTGTTAGGACACAGCCACGCCCGTTCATTACGTGTTCATTACGTACTGTCCACGCTTCTCTCGAACTGCAATGGCAGAGTTGAGTCAACAAGGCCTGAACCGTGTGCCCGTGAAGCCTGAACTAGTTACTACTGGGTTCTTTCCTGAAAAGTCTGGTGACCTCTACTCTGGGTCCTGGCATGCAGTGGGTGTTAAATAGCACCACGGCAGCAACTCTTCATTGAGCACCTACTGTGTACCAAGTCCTGTAGCTACAGTGGTAAATAAAGTGCTGGTGGAGATCACGAGTTTTCCAGAGTAACAAAGGAACCAGTGACTGATGAATCACACAAAAACAGAACTGGGGCCAGGTACGGTGGCTCACACCTGTAATCCCAGCACTTTCGAGGCCAAGATGGGAGGATCACTTAGAGTCCAGGAGTTCAAGACCAGCCTGGGCAACATAGCAAGACTCTCTCTACTAAAAATAAAACATTAAAAAAGGCAGGTGTGGTGGTGGCAGTGGCATGTGCCTGTGGTCGCAGCTACTTGGGAGGCTGAGGTGGGAGGATTGCTTGAGCCTAGGATGTCAAGGCTACAGTGAGCAAGATTGTGCCACTGCACTCCAGCCTGGGTGACAGAGTAAGACTTTGTCTAAAGAAAAAAAGAAAGAAACTGGAATGTATGGTTGGTGCTAGAAGCAAAAGATATAGGGCAAGCTGGGCACAGTGGTAATCCCAGCACTTTGGCTGTGAGGCCGAGGCGGGGAGGTCACTTGACGTCACAAGTTCAAGACAACCTGGCCAACATGGCGTAACGCTGTCTCTACGAAAAATACAAAATCTAGCCGGGCATGGGAATGCACATCTGTAATCCCAGCCACTCGGGAGGCTGAGGCAGGTGTGTGTGAGGTGGTCTGGGGGTCATGTGAGAGGATGCTGGAGCTCATGAGTAGAAGGGAGGTGAAGAAGAGGGTGACAGCTTCAGGCACAGGACACAAAGAGGCCCTGAGGCAGGAAAGAGCCAGGCGAGGGAATGCGAAGCGGCTGGATGAGGGGAATGCAGGCCACGAAGTGGGGCTGAGGGCACAGGACTGGGGCTTTATCCCAAGAGAGGCTGTCACGGTTTGAGAGCAAGGGAGTGGCAGAGTTACGCTGGCCTTTAGAAAATATCCCTCTGGGTTGGGTGGGGTGGCTGACGCCTATAATCTTTGGGAGGCCAAGGGGGGTGGATCACGAGGTCAAGAGATCGAGGCCATCGTGGCCAACATGGTGAAATCCCCGTCTCTACTAAAATTACAAAAATTAGTTGGGTGTAGTGGCACACGCCTGTAGTTCCAGCTACTCGGGAGGCTGAGGCAGGAGAATCGCCTGGACCTGGGAATTGGAGGTTGCAGTGAGCTGAGATCCATTGCACTCCAGCCTGGTGACAGTGAGACTCCATATGAAAAAAAAAAGGAAAGAAAATATCCCTCTGACGGTCACATAGACCGTACTAGGGAGGACCAAATGAAACAGAGAACCCAGGCAGGAGAAACTTCTTTTGTTTGTTTGTTTGTTTTGAGGCAGTCTGGCCTGGAGAGCAGTAGTGCAATCTCGGCTCACTGCCACCTCTACCTCCTGGATTCAAGTGATTTTCCTGCCTCAGCTTCCCGAGTAGCTGGGACTACAGGTGCCCACCACCATGCCCGGCTAGTTTTTGGATCTTTAGTAGAGACAGGCTTTCACCATGTTGGCCAGGCTTGTCTCAAACTCCTGACCTCAGGGGATCTGCCTGCCTTGGCCTCCCAAAGTGCTGGATTAGAGGCGTGAGCCACCATGCCCAGCGTGGATAACTCTTCTAGGGGAAGGTGGGTATCTGAGTCTTGCTCTGTGACCCAGGCTGGAATGCAGTGGTATGATTACAGTTTACTAAAGCCTCAACCTCCTGGGCTTAATTGATCCTCCTGCCTCAGCCTCCGGAGTAGCTGGGACTACAAGTGCACACCACCGTGGCTAATTAAAAAACATTTTTTTTTTTTTTTGGAGAAATGGGGTTTCCATATGTTGCTCAGATGGCTCTCAAACTCCTGGAATTTCGAGATCCTCTCGTCTCAGCCTCCAGAGTGGCTGAGACTATAGGTATGAGCCACCGCACTCAGCCCAGAGAATGTTTCTAATCCTATTGAGAGATGACAGCAACTTGAGCCAGGGCTGGCTGGTGTGCAAAGGTCTCTGGGGCCTCCACTCACCTTGTGCTGATTCCAAGTAACCAGGCACCCCTCTGTGTTCCTGGGGATGGCTGTGCTATCATATGGATGCGTCAGACCTGCACAGACCTGGGAGGGACAACGACATACATGTACACACACATGCAGGGAGGTCACGAGGCAGCTGGGGCCTCCTTCCTGCTCTCAGGCCCCTTCTTGGCTGTGCCGGACCCACTCACATAGGGGTGTCTGGCCTGGTAGCCCAGGACGACAGTCTGCAGGGTTCCCTCTTGGCCGTTCAAGACAACCCTTGTCTCCAGGGAATAGCGCTGGTGTCGCTGGTCAGCCGTGAAGGTCCCCAGCAGGACGAGGCTCTGCGGGATGGGCAGGTGCAAGGGGTGCCTGGTGTGCAGAGGGAAAAACAGGCCAAAGCCACTAAAGCAGCTGGCAGTGTCGGGGACAACGGTGCCCCACGGTCTCAGCCTGGGCCTGTCATGGGCTTGCCGAGTTTGGAGTCTGTCTCAGAGAAGAGAACGCCAGGACATAGGACAGCCCTGTGCTTTCACAATTTGTCATTCAGAACCCTTCACCATCTCACTGTGCCATCCAAGTGGGCATGGCTGGGGTCTCTGTCGCCATTTGACAGCAAAGACCCAAGGGGATAGATGGCACACATCATCTGGTGTCACACAGACTGGGGCTGAAATCCAGGCATGGTCTTTCACTAGTTGGGTGACCTTGTGCAAAGGACTTGACCTCTGTGCCTCAGTTTCCCCATATGTAAAATGCAGCTAAAATAACACTCATTGGACACAGTGATCGGGATGAGAGGTAGCATACATGAAATGAATGTAAGCTCTTCAAGAGCAAGGATTTCTGCCCTTCTTGTACTCTGTCATTTTCCACGTGCCCAGAATAGCACTTGGTACATAACAGGTGCTCAATGAATGTAAATGGGGCAAAAACACAAATGAAATCTACAAATGATATTGCTATTCCTTGTCATTACTGCTGCTGTTTAGACCAGTGACTTATCTAACACCACACAGCTGCTCAATGCATAGCCTGGCGTCCAAGATGGCTCCGTTCATTCCAATCTCACGCTGTTCCCAGCACACAGGAAACTGCCTTTTTAATGAGCTCTGTCTCTAGGAAATGAGAAGACTCTCCAAGCAGCCCCAGGCTAGGATGATAAGACTCTGACTTCTGCTCCCGCCTCGGCAACTAATGGAGGGGATAGGGATGTGGCAGCTTTCAGGGGAAGGGGCTCTTCTCTGGGATCTGGGTTTCATTCGGGCCCCAGCAAGTCAGCAGGGTTTCTCCAGGTAGCTCTACCCATCCTGTCCCTCCCGGGGACCCTCCATGCTGGAAAAGGGGAAACTTGCAGGGGTGTCAGCCTAGGAGAAGGGGCACACACACCTAAAGAGCAAGGTCCCCCATTTCCGGTACAATGTCCTGTCTCACCTCAGCTCCTCCAGCTCGCCTTCCAACTGCAGGCCCCAAGGCTGGCCATGGGCAGCGGTCCCCAGAGCCATCAGTGACACCTGGGTCTTCCACGGCTGCAACAAGACCCAGGCTGAAGGGAGGGATGGGCCAACAGGACCAAGCCGCAGATCCGCCTTGCAGGGAGGCAAGGTGTAGCCCCCTACAGCCTGCTGATCGCCCCCAGAAATGACTATCACAGCTGCTCAACTGGACTGCAGACTCCAGCCTGATCAGACCACAGAATCCCACCAGCTTACACCACAGCTGGACCTCCCTAGGTGCCCAGGGGGAAAGAAGAAGTTGGACTTCTCAGCTAAAGGAAGCCCAGCTTTGCTCTTGAATCTGTGCTAATGTGACCAGGGTCCACTTCGCAGACCAAGAAACTAAGGCTTGTCTGAGCACAGTGGCTCACCCCTGTAATCCCAACACTTTGGGAGGCTGAGATGGGAGGATCACTTGATCCCAGGGCTTTAAGACCAGCCTGCGCAACACAGCAATACCGCATGTGTGCTTGAAAGAAAGTCAGAGATTTCCTCCCCCTGGGATATCCTTTCATCTCCTTCCTACTTGGTGGACTCCTATTCATCCCTCAAAACCCCTTCAATGCCATAGTGGCATGGGTGGTATGTGGCTATAGTTCTGACTATTTGGGAGGCTGAGGTGGGAGGATCCTTTGAGCCCAGAAGTTGGAGGCTACAGTGAGCTATGACTTCATCGCTGCAATCCAGCCGGGGCAACAGAACCAGACTGTCAAAAAAATATCTAAAAGGAAAAGTAGGAAAAGGAAAGAGAGAGAGAAAGAGAGGCTCAGGGAGGCCCAAGGTCACAGGCCAAGCCAGTGGCACAAAGCCCTTTTCTATCCCAAGCAGGGAGAGAGGCAGGAGAGCCAGGTGAGGGACTGGTTGGTCTCTTGACTGCACGGGCCTCCCAGGTTCTCACCTGCTCCAGAGGCCTCTAGGCCGCTGTTAGGTTGAGCTCCTGCTGGGGGCCTTTCAACCAACAGTGCAGGATCTTACGGCCCCAGCTGTTCTCAGCATGGATCTCACCCTCCACTGCTGTGTTCCAGGCTGACTCGAGTTTGCTCCAGCTGTGGAAGAGACTCTGTGCCAAGACCATCACCATGGAAACCTGCAATGAGGGGGAGGAGGATCAAGGCCTTTGAACACCCTATTTCCTTCCCCTAAGATACCTTTCTATCTCTTTCCTACTTAGTGAACTCCTACTCATGCCTCAAAACCCCTTCATGCCATTTCTGTGAGGCCTAACCTGACTGGTACATGGAGGCTAGTTTTCTCTACAGGGTCTTAAGAAAAAAAAACCAAAACTTCTCTCTGTTGCCCCAACCCTGAGCAGACATACCTTCCTTCTCTCCTCTTCAGTTTGGGAATCTGAGCTCGCTGGGCTGCTATTACTAGTAGCCAGCATGTCTGTACCCTGAAGGGCACACACTGACAAGTGGCCTTCTCTCCCAGCACCATCACTGTGGCCTTCGGGAGTCCTAGGAAGAGCCGGGTGTGACCTGGCTCGTTTCGGGGCTGGAGAGGTAGGCCACTTGCAGCCACCACTTGGCACAAGCCCTGCACGGTAGTTGGTGCCCTCCTGGCTGCCATCCCTCATTCATACAACTCAGGGGACTCACAGGGAGAAGTGGCAGGGACAAGACAGGGTTTGGGCATGGCTGAGCCTCCAACTCAGTACCAGAACTTCGCACCACCTTGTCTCATGTCACTGACCCTTGGTTCCCCACGGCCAACTTCCCCATTTCCTTCAATGGCGCTTCCATCCCACCAGATGCCAAAACCTCCAAGCTATTTATTTCCTTTTTGTTACTCTCTCCCCACTGCCAATCCATCAGCAAATCCAACGTTTCCAGGATTTGATCACTTGCTGGTACCTACACTGCCACCACCGTGGGCTGGGCCGCCATGCCCTCCAGTTGGGTGAAGGATGGGAGTTGGCTGGTTGCCTGCACCTTGAGCTCCTGTCTTGGCACCCTCTAGTACACAGAGGCCAGAGGCCACCTCATGGTCCTTAAGATTACCACCATCCTTGACTCCACCCTGATGCCACCCAGCCCGGCCTCAGAGGGCACTCTGCTGCCCTCGGATGAGCCCCCTCAGGCCTGGACCTTCCCCACCTCCATGCATCACCCAGTACAGGGGGACTGTCCATGCACCAGGCTCCCTCAGCCCTACGGATGACACTCAAGGGTTTCCTCCAAAACCTATTCTTTCTTCTGTACCAAAGGCCTGCAGAGAAGCAACTTTCTGATAGTCAGTAGTCAGCATAAAACCGACTTATGTCCTAGAATTTTCCACTCTGGTTTTTTGGCAAAAGCCGAATGTCTGTCCACCTGTTTCCAAAGTACGGTTCGACTTTCTTTCCTATTTCATTTCTCTCCCCGTCAGCTGCTAAGCAGCGATATGGGAAATCTGATTTTCTTTTTTCAGTCTACTTTCCTACATCACCTAAGAACTAACTCTGAGGCCGGACGTGGTGGCTCACACCTATAATCCCGGCACTTTGGGAAGCCAAGGCGGGAGGATCACCTGAGGTCAGGAGTTTGAGAGCAGCCTGACAAACATGGAGAAACTCCATCTCTACTAAAAATACAAAATTAGCCAGGCGTGGTGCTGCAAGCCTGTAATCCCAGCTACTCAGGAGACTGAGGCAGGAGAATCACTTGAACCCGGGAGGTGGAGGTTGTGGTGAGCCAAGATCACACCAATGCACTCCAGCCTGAGCAACAAGAGCAAAACTCCATCACAGAAAAAAGAAAAGAAAAGAGAAGAGAAGAGGAAAAGAAAAGAAAAAGAGAAAGAAAGAGAGAAATAAAACTAACTCTCATAGCTGTAGAGACTGGGAGGGCCAAACTTCACACATCTGTGAGCTGCTATAGGCCCACAGGCCTCAGCTTTTATCTGCCTCTGCACCAGAAAAAGATCTCAGTGGCCAGGGACCAGGCAGTGCTGGGGGCTGAACACTGCTCACCCGGAGGTAGGTGGTAGCTGGAGTGTAGATCTTGATCTTGCCTTCCCTGGTGGGGCCCTGACTGCTGCAGGCCACACTGACCACCAGGTCCTTTAGGGTCCAGGCCTTGCCCAGCGTCAGCTCCAGGACAGCTTGGAACACAGCTCTGTGTGGCCAGCACAACCTGTGAGCTACAGAGACCATCAGCCACGGACTGTCCAGGTTCAAGGCTCCTGCAAGAGACAGAGAAAGGAGAGTCTGGTATGTGGGCAGAGAGGAAGCTTCTAGCAGGCAGCAAGAGGTCCCCAGAGTCTCATCACAGCGGCGACGGGAAAATCTCAAAACTGGAAATGACTAGGCATGAGGAAACTTTCTAGGACATTGCAGTGCTGTGACTTATGACAGGATCACACAGGTGAATCCATCTGCCAAAACTCATCCAATCATACCGTGGAGATACATGCATTTCACTGTGCTTAATGAAACACATGCTGAAACATTTAGGGTGAAATGTATCAATGACTACAACTTACTTTGAACTGCATGGAAAAAAAATAGGGCTGGATAGGTGGAGAGAGGGGCGATGAGTCAAGTGGGGTAAACTGTTAATAGCAGAACCTAGTATCAGAGGATGCTGATCACTGTCGATCCATCCAGCTCTTCCGAAGGTTTGCAATTTTTTTCCTAATAAAACATTGGAAGGCTGGGAGCAGTGGCTTGTGCCTGCAATCCCAGCACGTTGGGAGGCCAAGGCGGGAGGATCACTTGAGTCTGGGAGTTTGAGACCAGCCTGGACAACAAAATGAGACCCTATATCTATAAAAAAAAAAAATACAACAATTAGCCAGGGATGGTGGTGCTGGCCTATATTCCCAGCTACCTGGGAGGCTGAGATGGAGGCTGCAGTGGCCGTGATGGTGCCACTGCATTCCAGCTTGGGCAAGAGAAGGAGACCCTGTCTCTAAATAAAAAAAGAAAGAAAGAAAGGAAACACAGGTAGAAATGCTGAGGCCTGTGAAGAAAAATAATAAAGAAGGAATTTGATAAAAATGGCGGAGGTCAGCAAACACTTCTAAGAGGAAGTGACAATTTACCTGATACCTAAATGAAAGACAAGAGGAAGCTGATCAAAGGGGCAGGTCACCCACCCCTGTTCAGATGCAGGGACAATGACACGGTGAGGGGAGGCAAGTGGCACTGAGTTGAGAACAGGGAGACGCTGAAGAGTGGGCAGCCTGGTCCCTGCCCAGCTGCCCCCGTCCCACAGGAAATGGGAAGACGGCTCCACAGAAGAACAGAAGGCAGGCATGGATCCCTGGAGAGCCAGGTCCCCACCCAATTCCTTGACTGACAGGGAAGCCCACCAGGCAGAACATGCCCCCACTTACACGTAGCGCCTCTTTCCAAACACGTTTAGAGTCTCCAGTTAGTTTTCTATTTCATTCATGTTTCCTGCATGGTGATGACGATCTCATTTCACTTTACAGATCACAGTTGGGACCTGGCAAACTCAGGCCCTCCAGAACATCTACTGGTTGCTCCGTTTTTTGTTTTGTTTTTGCTTCTGAGGTCATGTTCATTCATTTATGTCTCATTACACTGGGCTGGGCCAAGAGTCACCCACTAGTGTATAGATTATGTTATTCTGTTGCTTTCAGACAGAATTGGGATCCAGGTTGTAACTCTCTCCCAAGTTCAACATCTGGATCAGAATCAGAAGAGAATGGCCACTGCTGTGGGAGGCTGGGAGGCTTTGAGTTTCCCGCCAAAGTCAACCTGATTCTGAACACCAAGGTGCAGCTCCACTAAACCAGACACATTCTCACTGTTAGTCTCCCGGCACCATAAACAGTAGGGGAGATAGGGCCCCTGACAGAACCAAGTGAAATTTCCCAGAGCTCTACGCATTCATTCACCCTGATCCAGAGACTTCACACACCCAGGGAAAGAATCATCATTCCTAGAGATAATGGACTAAGGGCAGTAGAGCACTGAGGAAGTGCTGGGGGCATAATTCCTTGTGCACACCAGGCCATCTGAGCTCGACCGCGGCAGCTCTATGGGGCCCACATGCAGCCTCCATGCTCCTGCTCACACTGCTTGCCCAGCCAGGAACCTTCCAGCTCCACCTGAGTTACACAGACCCCCAAGTGAAAACCAACCAGCTCCAGCCTTCTCATTCACAGCCTCCTGATTGTTCCCAGGAGACTCAGTCTCTTTCTTTTGCACCCTGGGTCCCTTCACTTGTGCTTCCACTGTGGGTGGGTGGTCACAAGCTCTGTGCCCTTTAGTGTGGATCTCTCTGCTGGAGGAGACAGGATGCCCTGCAAGTCAGGGACGGGTCTCATCCCTCACAGAGTCGGCCATGTGGCCCAGGTTTGATGCACACCTGCAGAATTGCTATTTCTGGCTTCTATACACAATCTCTGGCTGGGCTGGTGGCTCAAGCCTATAATCTCAGCACTTTGGAAGGCCTCAGTTGGCAGATGGCATGAGTCTAGAAGTTTGAGACCAGCCTGGGCAACACAGTGAAACACAGTCTCTACACAAAGTTTAAAAAGAGAGAGAGAGAGAGAAAGAGAGAGAGAGGAGAGAGAGGAGAGAGAGGAGAGAGAGGAGAGAGAGAGAGAGAGAGAGAGAGAGAGAGAGAGAGAGAGAGAGAGAGAGAGAGAGAGAGAGAGAGGAGACATGTTGGCTCACATCTGTAATCCCAGCACTTTGGGAGGCTGAGGTGGGTGGATCACCTGAGGTCAGGAAATCAACAGCAGCCTGGCCAATATGGTGAGACCCTGTCTCTACTGAAAATACAAGAATTAGCCAGGTGTGATGATATGCACCTGTAGTCTCAGCTACTCAGGAGGCTGAGGCAGAAGAATCACTTGAACCTGGGAGGCAGAGACTGCAGTGAGCTGAGATCTAAGATTGCACCACTGCACTCCAGCCTGGTGGCAAAGCGAGACTCCATCTTAAGAAAAAGAAAAAAAAAAAAAAAAAAGGAAGGCTGGGCACTGTGGCTCATGTGTGTAATCCCAGCACTTTCAGAGGGCAAGGCGAGCAGATCAAGAGATCAGTAGATCAAGACTCTCCTGGCCAACATGGTGAAACGCTGTCACTGCTAAAAATACAAAAAATTAGTTGGGCATGGGGACATGCACCTGTGGCCCCAGCTACTTGGGAGGCAGAGGCAGGAGAACTGCTTTGAACCTAAGAGGCAGAGGTTGCAGTCAGCCAAGATGGTGCCACTGCACTGCAGCCTGGCTACAGAGTGAGACTCCATCTCAAAATTTAAAAAATAAAAAGAAGCCAAATGTGGTGGTGTGTGACTGTAGTCCCAGCTGCTGCTCTGAAGGCTAAGGTGGGAGGATCACCTGAACCCTGGAGACGGAGGTTACACTGAGCCAGGATTGCACCACTGCACTCCAGCCTGGGTGATACACTGAGACTTTGTCCCCACAAAAAAACACAAAATGTGTCTTTATCTACAAGAGATACCTGCTGCCAAACTCATGATGAGGAAATAATGCAACCGACTGTGTACTCTCAGAAACTTGAGAAAAGTGACCAGGATCTCAGCCAGTGTCACCTTGTACTGCAAAGCCCTGCAGGACCATCTGTGCCGTTTTTTTCTATTCACTCAAAAAAGAAGAGATGAATTTTTTTACAAATTACTTTATACCGTTCAAATCAACACATCAAGTGGTGCATTTAGAGGTGTTGGTCGAGGTCTCAGAGGCCGCATGACTAGACGAGGGGTGAAGTCCGAGGGGACAGTCAGGTGAAGGTTGAGTGTCGGTTGAGACAGCAGGTCAGCCAAGTGAAGGAGGTGGTCGAAGTATGAGAGAAAACCTAGGAAGGAGGTGGCTGAGGGCTGAGAGGTCATGAGGAGATTCTTTAGGTCCTAGAGGAGACTCATGTGACGGTGATAGCTAAGAGAGGCCACCAAGGTAGAGAAGTTGGCTGAGGTGCCAGTGGCCACTAAATGCAACAGTAGGCTGAGGTCCCAGAGGCCACACTGCTGGAGGAAGAAGATGAAGCCCCCCAGGAAAGAGAGCTGGATGAGGTGGATGGGGTCCCCCAGGACAGACAGGTGGATGAGGTGGATGGGGTCCCCCAGGACAGACATCTGGATGAGGTGCATGGGGTCCCCCAGGATACACAGGTGGATGAGGTGGATGGGGTCCCACATGACAGACTAGATGGATGAGGTGGTTGAGGTACCTCAGGACAGACACCTGGATGAGGTAGATAAGGTCCCATAGGAGGTGCAGCTGGAGGAGGTGCTAGAGGTCCCACAAAACAAATAGTTGGAAGACATAAAGGAAGTCTCAGAGGACACTCAATTGCTGGAGGTGTCTGTGGTTTCAGAAGATCACCAGCTGGAGAAGATGGTGGAGATACCAGAGAGCACTTGACTGAAGGAGGTGACTGTGGTCTCAGAGAATCTGCACTTGCAGAAGATGGTTGAGGTGTCACAGGACATTAGAGTGAAGTAGGTGGTTGAAGTCCCAGAGGACACGTGAGTGAAATAGGAAGCTGAGGTTCCAGAAGATGCTCAAGTGGTGGAGCTGCCTGTGGTCTGCCAGAAAGTCATTAGCTGTAGAAGATGGTAAAGGTAACAGATTCCACTTGGGTGAAGGAGTGTGTGGGCTCAGAAAGTCTTCAGCTTGAGATGATGGCAGAGGTATCAGATAACACTCAAGTGGTGGTGTGCGAGGCCTCAACATCTTCAGCTGGAGAGTGGTAGAGATACCAGAGGACACTCAGGTTGAGGTGTGCGGGTGAAGATTTTCTTAGGAAATCTTCAGCTGAAGATGGTGGGAGAGGTACTAGAGTACACTCAGGTGGAGGTGTCTGTGGTCTCAGAAGATCATCAAGAAGGTGAAGAGATACCAGAAGACACTCTATTGAAATAGGTAGCTGAGGTCCAAGGGGACACTCAAATGGTAGAGCTACCTGTAATCTCAAATATTTTCAGTTGGAGAAAGTGGGTGAGGTCCCAGAGGACAATGGATGGAAGCTGTGTGTCGTCTCAGAAAATAATCAGCCGGAGACGACGGTAGAGGTATCAGAAGATACTCGAGTGGTGGCGTCTGTGGTTTTCAAAGATGATCATCCGGAGAAGGTGGTAGAGATGCCAGAAGACACTTGAGTGGTGGTGTCTGTGGTCTCCAAAGATGATCATCCGGAGAAGGTGGTCGAGATGCCAGAAGACACTTGAGTGTTGGTGTCTGTGGTTTCCAAAGATGATCATCCGGAGAAGGTGGTAGAGATGCCAGAAGACACTTGAGTGGTGGTGTCTGTGGTTTCCAAAGATGATCATCTGGAGAAGGTGGTAGAGATGCCAGAAGACACTTGAGTGGTGATGTCTGTGGTCTCCAAAGATTAACATCCGGAGAAGGTGGTAGAGATGCCGGAAGGCACTCAAGTGGTGGTGTTTGTGTTCTTGAAGTATCATCATCTGGAGAAGGTGGTACAGGTGGCAGAAGACACTTGAGTGGTGGTGTCTGTGGTCTCCAAAGATTAACATCTGGAGAAGGTGGTATAGATGCCGGAAGGCACTCAAGTGGTGGTGTTTGTGTTCTTGAAGTATCATCATCTGGAGAAGGTGGTACCGGTGGCAGAAGACACTTGAGTGGTGGTGTCTGTGGTCTCCAAAGATTAACATCCGGAGAAGGTGGTATAGATGCCGGAAGGCACTCAAGTGGTGGTGTCTGTGTTCTTGAAGTATCATCATCTGGAGAGGTGGAAGAGGTGCCAGAAGACACTTGAGTGGTGCTGTCTGTGGTTTTCAAAGATCATCATCTGTAGATAGTGGTAGAGGTGTCTGTAGACATTTGAGTGGAGTTGTGTACAGACTCAGAAAATCATTGGCTGAAGAAGGTGGTAAAGCAGCCAGAAGACATTCAGGTGTAGGTGTCTGTGGTCTCGAAAACTCATCATCTGACGAAGCTGGCAGAGGCGTGCATAGACACTCAGGTGGAATTGTGTATAAGCCGAGAAAATCATTGGCTGAAGAAGGTGGTAAAGCTGCCAGAAGACATTCAGGTGTAGGTGTCTGTGGTCTCGAAAACTCATCATCTGACGAAGCTGGCAGAGGCGTGCATAGACACTCAGGTGGAATTGTGTATAAGCCAAGAAAATCATTGGCTGAAGAAGGTGGTAAAGCTGCCAGAAGACATTCAGGTGTAGGTGTCTGTGGTCTCGAAAACTCATCATCTGACGAAGCTGGCAGAGGCGTGCATAGACACTCAGGTGGAATTGTGTATAAGCTCAGAAAATCATTGGCTGAAGAAGGTGGTAAAGCAGCCAGAAGACATGCGGGTGTAGGTGTCTGTGATCTCGAAAACTCATCATCTGACGAAGCTGGCAGAGGTCCTAGTGGACACTGGAGTTGAGGAGTTGTCAGAGGTCCCAGAACACCTTTAGCTGATGGGAATGGTGGAGCTCCCAGGCGACACCCAAATGGAGGAGGTGGCGGGCAAGCCATCAGTGGTCCTGAAGGGTCAGCCATGAGGTAGGGTGAGCAGGGCAATGCTGAGCAGTGATGACGCTGTGCTGCAGCCATGTTAACCTGCAGGCAGAAGGAGGAAGGGTTTTGACATGTATTAATTTGACAGACAGAACCACCACCAACAACACAGGCTGCAACTTATGTTGCTGCTGATAGTTTTCTGCACCTTTCCATCCTCCAGGTTTCAAAACAGCAGCATCAGTGTCATGAAGTCACCCTTCCACTAAGTACCACTGACAGCTGGGGAGTGAAGAAGAGTCATTGGGACAAACTGTTTTCTCCGCATGCCACTGCATCTCTCTGCAAATGTAGGCAGGCTGGGGGCCTGCCCCAGGGAAGACAGAGTCATAGCGCAGTAAGGAAGAAGCATGTTTCAGACACAGGAGTGTCTCTGTCCATCCTCATTCCTCCCTCACCACCATCACCAGAGCATGTTCTTTGCATCAGATAAATAGCAAGTAAGAGAGGCATGAAAAGCCCATTGTCCACACATGTGTTACAGCTTCTTTTAGGAGAATGTTCTCCAGGCCTTTTATGTTCTGTCTCTGATTATCAGAACTCTGCAAGTCAGCGTGACTACCCTGCTCCAAATATAAGAAAACAGAGGTTCCCCGAGGAAGAAGAACACATGCCCAGGGTCACAGAGCTTGCAGGAGGCAGAGTGGAAGTCTATTCCAGCTCTCCCTGCAGGACCCTTTCATTTTCTTTCTGATTCCCTTCTTGACAAAGGGTCTTCTTCACTCTGGGGGTCCCCCCCATGAGCACAGATGGCTCTGGGGAAATGTGGATTCTTGAAGAGAAGCAGGGAAACTGGGAGAGGGTTTTCTGTCAGAGCAATCCGACATACACAAGTCAGTTAGGCATGGCCAGAAGATTTCTTTTAACTCCCAGGTAATACAAATTTTATGTGCATTATGACAGAAATAATACTTTTGTCCAGGGAAAAATGAGGTGGAAATTCTGAAAAAAGCAAGTTTTAGAAACGTGTTTAATTTCTAGTGTACAGTTCCCATCGCGTGTCATCTCAGAACTCGGCAGCTGTTGAAGGTACAGAAGCCACACGAGAACCAGCAGAGCTGCGTATCATGGAAGGCCTTGGTTGGGAATTGTCGCTGTGGGTAATAGATTACATTCACTTTCACTAACTCACAATCGAGGCATATTTTTTACTACAAATACAGAAACTCTGACACTTAGATGTTAGATCGGGGCACCACCAAATGGGGGTGAAGGCGATTTTGTACAACACAGTTACCAACAGGAATGGGACTGTGATGAACTACAGAATTGACCTTGATGAAGAGCATTCAGAATTGCACAAAGCACATATTAATGCTGGATTAATGAGTTTTCACTTTCATCACTTCTGAGAATACAGCAGATATTTCAAATGTTACTCACCTACCTTATAGATAAAAACACACAAGATAAAAGAAAACCCCACTTCAATCAGAAATAGACCCCACAACACCTTGAGTAACAGAGATCAGTCAGCATTCACTGGGCCATGAGACCTACGAGAGTGGAGGTCAGTGGCATTCCTCATGCTATTTCAGAAAACAGAACAGTAAAAGCCCTTCAGCCCTCAGTCCCTAAGCATTTATGGCTTCTGGAGGTGCCACCCAAGATGACTAGCTGGGACTGAAGAAGCCAGAAAGCTTATGGGAAAGATTTTGCTCTAAAAATTCCAGACAGAAAAGGTATCACAGAACCTACAGAGCAGAGGCCAGGCGAGGAGAGGACGATGGAGGAAAAGACTACAGTGTCCTGATACAGGCAGAGTGAAAATGACCCCAGCATTTACCTTTGTCTTCTCTGTGATTTCACTTGGGACGCAGCTGCTGTTCCTCATGGGAACCGAATGAGGTCCTGAATCTGCTAAGGGCAAGAGAAGGAAATGGAGCTAAATCTGGCTTGCATGTTCTGTGCAGAATAAGAAACCCTCCACGCCTTTTGCTGCCATCTCACTCTCTTTGCCACACTCAGGTCCCTTACCAGAGGCACAGGGTTAACTGACCAGATGCATCAGAGGACCCTGGTGCCCTCTGGGCCTGAGCCTTGAGGAAGATACTGCAGAGTCCTGGTCCAGGGGTTTGCTTAACTCTCAACAGGCTGTGGACAAGTCGGGCTCTAACCAGCTGGAAATGAGCTTTAAATCAGGGGTTCCCAGTACACATCAGAGGAAATCACCCATCATGTGAGCACTGACTCCAAATTCAAATAGAAACAGCCGTGGATGGGAAGAACAGCTACAGGCCCAGGACAGGAGCAGCACTGCTCCTTTTCTTCAGCTGTCGGGGCATTTAAAATCCCGTGGATTCATAGTGAATTTAACCTCCACATCTCACCAGGCATTGCCAATATTTATGAACAGAAATGAACATAACGAGACTAACAGTCATGAGAAAAGGTAAGCGCTGTAGGAATTAAATGGGGGTCGGGTGAGGTGGCTCACACTTCTAATCCCGGAACTTTGGAAGGCTGAGGTGGGCAGATCACTTGAGGTCAAGAGTTACAGACAAGCCTGACCAACATGGTGAAACTCTGTCTCTACTAAAAACACAAAAAGAAACATTTGTCAGGCATGGTGGCAGGCACACGTAATCCCAGCCACTTGGGACGCCGAGGCAGGAGAATTGCTTGAACTTAGGAGGCGGAGGTTGCAGTGAGCAAAAACTGCACCACTGCACTTCAGCCTGGGTGACAGAGTGAGGTTTTCAAAAAGAAAAGGAAAGAAAAAAAAGAAAGAAATCAACCGGAAAGTTTGAGGGTCACACTTCAAATGTTAGAGGAGTAAGATTACATAGAAATTTAGCTTACTAAAGGAGTTATCTAGTTCACAATAAACAATTTAAATGAGCAAAAAGAACGAAGGAAGTTCCAAAAAGTGCAAATAAAGGCTTCTTTTCTTAAAGCAGATCTCAGGTACTGCTTTATTGAGCCATGAAGACATTGCCCGAAAATCTCTGCTCTCCTCAGCACTTACAGCTCCCATTCTAAAATGCTATTGTTGGTACTTTTCTCTAAGGAAAGAAAAACAAAGCCTTCACACTGACTCAAGGTGGGAGGGGGAGCTGGCCCATTTGCCTTGTAGGCTCATCTTCACAGTTAAAAGTAACCAAGACGTCAGTGGGGGGCAAAGTCCACAGTCAGTGGAGGGGCCTGAGCTCCACCATTCACACGGGTCCAGCCAAGAGCCATTCAGCTAGGGTACCTGAGAAAAATGGGGTCCTGCCCCCCAGCGGGACAACTGTTCTCTTCACAAGTGCTTGGAAGTGTTTCCAGGAAACATGACAATGACCCCACCTGAGCCCTCACCCCCAAAAGGAGAAGCAGAGCGTGTGGGTCCTGCAGCGGAAACTAAGCGGCTGCCTTCACGGGAGCTCCCACCTCGCCAGAAAGCGTTCTTCAGGCACAGGCGTTTCTGGGCTGGCTCCTCACTCATGTGTCTCCCTGGCACTCTTTTCTTTTTCCTCATTCTCCATCTAGAAGACAGAGAAAGAACTGACTTGAAGAAGAATTAAAACACCACGTTCTTTACTAGACACTCAAAGCTTTATCTTTTTTTGTTGTTGTTGTTGAGACGGGGTTTCACCATGTTGGCCAGGCTGGTCTTGAACTGCTGACCTCAGGTAATCTACCCGCCTCAGTCAAACCTTCATCTTGAAAAAAAAAAAAAATCCTTAAAAATGACCATAACAACTGAGTGCAGTGGCTTATGCCTGCAATCCCAGCACTTTGGGAGGCTGAGGTGGGCAGATCACCTGAGGTTGGGAGTTTGAGACCAGCCTGACCAACATGGAGAAACTGTCTCTACTAAAAATACAAAAAAAGTCAGGCGGAGTGGCACGTGCTTTTAATTCCATCTACTCGGGAGCCTAACGCAGAGAATTGCTTGAACCCGGGAGGTAGAGGTTGCAGTGAGCTGAGATTTGGCCACTGCACTCCAGCCTGAGCAACAGAGACTCAGTCTCAAAAAGAAAAAAAATCCATCACAATGACCTACCTGTGCCGCTTGTAGGCAGCCTTGCTCTCTGCCGTCTCCCTCTCCAAGGCTTGAGCACAGCGCTGTGGGGAGAAAAATACATCCACGTCCTCATCTGGCAGACTATGCCCCAAAGCACAGGAAACAAACAAAGAAAACGTACCTGGTTGTCAAGAGCATTTCTTGCAGAAGAGGTGACCTGAAAAAGCCACCACGCCCAGCCTGAAAGAACATCTTTCAAGTTCTTTGTAGAAGTTGATTTTTCTGATTTTAACTCACAGGTAATTTAGTTAAAATTAGAAATGGTACATTGAAAAACATCCCCTCTTCAGGCGTGGTGGCTCACGCTTGTAATCCCAGCACTTTGAGAGGCTGAGGTCGGTGGATCACTTGAGATTGGGAGTTTGAGACCAGCCTGGCAAACATGGTAAAACCCCATTCCTACTAACAATACAAAAATTAGCTGCATGTGGTGGTGACCACCCGTCATTCCAGCCACTCGTTGGGGGCTGAGGCAGAAGAATCACTTAAACCCATGAGGTAGAGGTTGTAGTGAGCCAAGATCACACCATTATACTCCAGGCTGGGTGACAGAGCCAGACTGTCAAAAAAAAAACAACAACAACAAGAGAAAACTTCCCCCAACTTACATTGACAATTCTCTGTTCAGGACTAAGTGGGGTAGAGACTGTTAGATGCAGCAGGGCGTGGTCACTCGCAACTGTAATCCCAGCACTTTGGGAGGCTGAGGCTGGTGGATCACCTGAGTTTAGAGCTCAAGACCAGCCTGGCAAAAATGGGGAAATCCTGTCTCTACGAACAAAAATTAGCCAGGCATGGTGGTACATCCTGTAGTTCCAGCTACTTGGGAGGCTGGGGCAGGAGACTCACTGGAACCTAGGAAGCAGAGGCTGCAGTGAGCTGAGATTGTGCCACTGCACTCCAATCTGGGCCAGAGAGTGAGACTCCATTTAAAAAAAAAAAGGAAAAAGGCAGTCCCGAATGGCAGGTAATTATCTAGGTTGTAAAAATAAAACATACTTCCTCTTCCCTCGAATATAAAAAGCATTGTGGGATTAGTGCTTTTTTCTTGGATCATTGTTCAGGAGGAGGGTCAGCCCCCAGACAACCACGTTTTTACTGTCATGAAAGGCAAGAGAAAATAAAGCGCTCACTCTACCCAATGGACAAAAAGGCTCAAACGATGACACAACTTAGCAGCCAAATTCCTACCAAGTACAGACTTTGGACATACTGGTCCCTCTCCACCTGCAACCGGGAACATGCACTTTGATGATGTCATTTGAAATGACACTGCCCAGACACACTCTTCATTGATTCTCTGAAGGGCAGTTCCAACAGACTCTCTGGGGCTTTCTCTGCATCATGAGAGGCAGCTCTGCCCTTCGCTGTCCTGCCATTTGTTGCCTCTTCCCCATGATCTCAGAGGAACTTTGTCTCAGGCCAACTTTGTTCTTTGGGCTCTTTCATTTCCCCTAAAAATCACTTACTCCCCCTCTAAACTGCCCCCATCTCCATCTCCCCTGAAAAGAGGGTGCCCTTTAAGCACCAACCATCTGACCCTTCCTGCAGTCTCATTTCTCGGCTGGCTCCCATGTTTCTGCCTGTTGTATAAACAGCTTCTCCTGTTAAGCTGTCTGTTGTCAGTTTCTGCAGTGAATCTTTAGAGAGGAGAGTGAAAGCTTTCCTTCCAGCCATATGATAGAATTATGAAGCGAAGTTTAGACAGAATTTCCTATTTAAAGTGCCAAAACTTCATACTCCATTTCTGATAAAGATCACAAAGGTTAAAAAAAGAAAAACTTAGTTTTGACCCAAAGCTCTGTTGACATTCTATTCAACAAACATCAATCTATTTAATTTTCATCATGTAAATGGCAGATATTTTTATAATTCTTATGCTAATAAATCATTTCCCTGATGTTTTTGGTAAAACCCAATATTCATAATGAAGTCCAGAACCATGAATTGTTTTAAATAATTTCTTCTTATGTGTGATTACAAGTATATCTCTACAGGAAGTTAGTATACTCACACAGAAGGTAATTTTTCGGAGGAAAAGGCCAACGGTAGAAACTCCCAGAAACACAATAGTTAAAAGCATCCACAGAACGCCAAGAAAGCCATGCCAAGGATACAGATAATCAGGTGGGAAACTGATGGCCTGCAATAATAACAGTTGAAATCATGAAAAGGTCAGTGACATTCACAATATTTCAGCAAAAAACAATAATCTTTAGAAACCATCAACCTCCTCCAAGAGGTAACCACACCCCTCAGATATCACCAGGGAATTCCACTGCTTCAAAAAACATTGAAAGTTACCTGTCTCATGTTATTTGCATGGCTGGTAGTGTGTTTAGGCATTCTAAATGTACAGTGTCTTTGTTTTTCTTGACGTAAAGCAGGGATATCCAAATTTTTTGCTTCCTGGGCAATATTAAGAGGAGAAAACTTGTCTTAGGCCACACATAAAATACACTAACCCTAACAATAGCTGATGGTCTAAAAAATATCACAAAAAGGCCAGGCGCAGTGGCTCATGCCTGTAATCCCTTCACTCTCAAAGAGGGAGGCAAAGGGGATCACATGAGGTCAGAAGTTCCAGACCAGCATGGCCAAAATGGTGAAACCTCATCTCTACCAAACATACAAAAATTAGTCAGGTATGGTGGTGGGTGCCTGGAATCCCAGCTACTCAGGAGGCTGAGGCAGAAGAATCACTGAAACCAGGGCGGCAGAGGTTGCAGTGAGCCAATATTGCGCTATTGCACTCCAGCCTGGGAGACAAGAGGGAGACTTTGTCTCAAAAAAAAAAACAAAAATTACAAAAAGAAAAGAAAATTTTTTTTTGAGACAGTGTCCCACTCAGTCGCCCAGGCTAGAGTGCAGTGGTGCAATCTTGGCTCACTGCAACTTCTGCCACCTAGGTTTAAGCCATTCTCCTGCCTCAGCCTCCTGAGTAGCTGGTATTACAGGCACCTGCCACCACACCTAATTTTTATATTTTTGGTAGAGACAGCATTTCACCATGTGGGTCATGCTTGTCTGGAACTCCTGACCTCAACTGATCCGCCAGCCTCAGCCTCCCAGTTACAGGTGTGACCCACCACACCAGGCCTGTCATTTCTTTATATTTAAATAACATAAGGACTTTAAGAGCCTTTCTCCTTTGGGTCAATCAATGATCTGCACCAAACACATTTCACAAAACCAAGGACAGTCCTCACTCACATCCTGGTCACATCACTCCCAGTGACTCCCGCATTGCAAACCTCCCAGCAGGTGCAGCCCTTTCCTCTCCATCTGATGGGCTTCTCAGCTCCCATCACACTGACTGGACACAGACTCCCTAGAGGCAGCCCCCAAGAGCAGAAAACACGAATGACACAGAAGTTCCTAAAAGTCATCAAACCAGATGACACAAAACTCAAATGACATTTCACTTTGTTTTGGTTTTGTTTGAGACAAGAGTGCAGTAGGCATCCGACTAGTCATTTTTGGAATCTTTTGTAGAGAGGGGGTTTGGCTATGATGCCCAGGCTATTCTTGAACTCCTGGACTCAGGCGATCTGCCCACCTTAACCCCTCAAAGCGCTAAATTACAGGCCTGCACTGTGTAATATGCCACGTGACACAGCCCAATAACAAGGAAGAAACCCCGAGGGCCCAGCGTCTACTCACAGGGGTGGATTGATGGCTGGGAAACCCCAGCAGGAGGAGCCAAAAGAGCAGCCACGGCACCCGCATGTCCTGGTCCTCTCAGGGCGCCCTGAGGCGGCCAGGACAGAGGTGGGGGTGGCTTAGGGCTGAGGGAGGGAAGGGGATGGGGATGGGGAAGGATCTGACTTGGGGAGGGGGATGGGAAGAAAGAGGAGGGAGGGGAATGGGGGATGTTGGGCACCTGGAGGACGGGGAGGAGAAAGGAGTCTAGGAAAGGATTGGGTTGAAACTAAGTCTTCAAGTGCGAGTGGGAGGTTCAACTACAAGTCAGGGAGAAAGTCTATCAGGTAAGAAAGCCGGAGGCTCAGGAGCAATTAGACGGAGACCAGGGCTCTGGTTTCCACCAAAACTTCTCCTGTTTGGGCGCTGCCTAAGCAACCCTCATGCTTTATACTCCCTCTCCACCAATCCCTGGCCCCGGAACGTGCTACCTCACAGTGGACATTCCACGGAGCACCTGTGTCCTCCAATGCCCCTCCCCCATCTCAGCCCCAAACATGACTCCCAAGGACAGGTCCTCTCTGGAACCTTCACAGACCTGATTTCTGGTCTTCCCCACCAGGTCCCTGTCCCCGCTCCTGGGCGGCTCCTTCCTTCCTGAGCTTCCAGGGTTTCTCATGGTCGGTCTTGGCTGCAAAATATAAGAAACAAATGATGGCAGGATGGCAGGAAGAACCTCACACACAAGCAGAGTGGGAGGCTCTACAGCCCCCTCTCAGCCATTCATATTCTAAGCAACAAAACATCAGAAGGATTCGGAAGGTCCCAATGGTAAAGCACCTCCATCACATCCATGCAGCCATCGTCCATCATCCTGTATCTCAGGAACAGATGTTGGAGCTACGCTAGTTTTAAGCATGTGAGGTACATTTACAAAAATTAACCCGACTTATTTTGTTCATCAAGCAAATCTCAATATATTCCAGAGAAATTTAATCACACAGCAGGTTTCTGGTCACAGAATAGTGTTAGAAGTCAATGATTAAAAGCTAACCAAAAATTATTATATGCTTGGAAATTCAAAGTCCCCTTATAAGATATCAACAGAAGAAAGAATCCAAAATGAAACGAGACTGCCTTTACACTCATTGAGAAGATCATAACGTGGCAATCAAATGCCTCCCCTGGCCCAGGAATTCCACTTTGGTTTTCGCACAAGGTTGTGTGGTCTCAAATCACCCCTAACACCCCTAGACATGTTAACATCTGAAACAGGGTGATGGTGTCACTTATCTATATATCTTACTGCCTGTGAAGGTGGACTTTTAATTCTGAACCCTAATGAGGGGAAGAAAACCAAGGTGACTCTCATGCTTGAGCTCCCAGGGATGTCCAAGGAATCTGTGCATTTCAAGTGGCAAACTTCATCAGCCTCTCTCCTGGGAGATTTGGCCACAATACCCAGAGGGTTTGGCAGCATCATGAGTGATGGGTGGGGAGTGCCAAGCAGGTGGGCAGGACACAGGGGTCTGGTGACCAGGCCAGTCCCTCACTGTCCATCTTCTTTCCTGGCCCCGTCCTCATCTAAACTTCCCAAAGACCTGTCTCTGCCTGATCACACAGAGTGTGCTCAAACTCAGGCCTCTTGCAGCTGAAAGTAACTGATTTCAGTTTCTTTACCAGTTATTATGACATAAAGTTACTTTAAACTGCAAATATTCTATTCATGCTACAAATGGAAAGCCAATGCATTTACCATAAATAGAAAAATAACCCTGAGACACAAGCAAACAAAAACAAAACAGGGATGACAACCATGGCATTCAATTCCATTCGTCTGCTGTCACCTGCATTAAGAACCCCACATTTGGCTTGTCTTGGTTGGAAAAGGAGAGACCAAGTAAGTGGGTGTTGATGTCAGATTAGCGCAAAAGTGAACGGCAGAGAGTACCATGATGTCCATGGAGGGTTGCTGGGGTCACCTTCATTACAGCCCAAGCAGAGACAGGACAAGGAAGGAGAGGTGAGCCGAGTGTGGGGCCTGACACAGGGGAGGTGACTCATGCAGCCCAGGAAAGTCTCCTTAAAGCCAGGGTCGACCTCCCTTGCAGGCAGGTCCCTCATGAAGGCAGGGCCAGGCAGCTTAGATTTGAGATCAGCTGTGCTGCTGACCAGCTGTGTGACCCTGGGCCGGTTTCCTTCCACATAATGGGAGTGTCAATGGCTGTGTCAAAGACTGTCTGAGGATGGGAGGAAGCAACGTTCACCTGTGTACTGAGTGTCATCACCTCCCAAGGACATCTTTCCTTCCAGAGCGGGCACCTTGGAAGGTCCTAAAAGCAATAAATCATCATTTGCGGTTGTTGAGGGAGGGCCAGGGGATAGGGCTCCTAGGTCCTTGATAAGAATGAGGGTCTGGGGACTCCTGGGGACAGCTGAATGAGTCCTGTAGGACTCCTGGGTCCCCAGGGGCCAGGCCCATCTTCAGTGGCACTGGGTCTAGGCTGGGATGCTGGGGCAGCCACTGGAGCATCAGCAGGACAAACAGCCACAGAGGCAGTGGATCCATCGGAGGTGGCAGGTGTTGGATCATCTGTCCACCAAGTAGAGTCACCAAGCCTGGCTTACCACTGCCCCCACAGAAAATGCCCTGTCCCTTGCCTCACACTTTGGCAGGGTAGCAGCTGGCACCTGGAGCCTCATGGAGCATCACTCTAAGACCTCTGTGTCCTGGTCACTGAATGGGCACTTGAGTCACCCAGGGCCATTGGAACAAGGAGGAAGAATCAGGCCCCACGATGTTTAGCACAGTGTTTAGCACAGGAAAATGCACAGAATGCACATATGACACAGGGGAACTGTTGGTGTGGGAATCAAGATTTCAAGACCTCCAGCCCTAATCTGAGCACTCTCACCAGTGCAACCTGAAAGGATCAGGAGACTTGCAGGAAACATAGTGCCTGGATTTAACTTAAGGGAACTAAAACACTGAATGTTCACACTCCTGATATCCTTCCAAATCAACTCTCTCAATGCTGCCATCTTCACCACTATCATACAGGGGAACTGAGGCCGTCAAAGATTTACTAACTCAGTGTCACTCAGCTGATTCTGAGTTCACTACTGATCACATCTGAACAAACTACTTTTCCTGAAGTTTACCCTGTTTGATCATGCTGCTGATTTTGTGTCGCTCTGGGACAAACTCCACCTGGTTGAGGATAAAGCAAATTCGTGTTGACTCAGTCCTGCTGTCATTTCCCATCAATTTCCCACTCTCCTCCTCCGCCTCTCCACAGTCTCCTGCACAGGCTGACACCATATGGTGGTCCTAATGGAGTCCACCGAGTATTTCAGGTTCTCCTCTGGGCCCCCAAAGGTGGAGGTAGTTTTGGGATTTGCTTGGACTCAGGAGATGTGAGTGGAAGTGAAGTGCGTCAGCTCGAGGCAAAAGAGCTGGAAGCCATTCAGACTGGCCACCCCCTCCCTCATCTCTTACAGCCATTGAGAGGTCCCAAATGGAGGCTGCCTCTTTATTTTGGTGGCAGATGAGGAAACATGGAGCACAGGGCCCAGGAGAGTCATGGAGGACGTGCAGCATGAGCAGACAAAAAGCCCTCAATGCTGTAAATTTCCACTTCTGGGGCCATTTATCACCTACAGTGTTACCTGGTTCATCCTAGCAGGCATGCACCATCTATTCCACGCTCTGTGAAGCAGACTAGCCTACTCTCAGAACATAAACTGGTTTTAAGACACATGTAGGTTTCAGTTCCAGCTCTGCCTCTTAGTAACTGCAACCTCATGCATTTAACTTTCAGTCTCTGAGCCTCAGTTTCAACGCTGTAAAATGGGTTGGTTATACTACTTCAGGTTGTGGAGAGAATGTAACAAAACAAAAATGCATGTAGAACACTGAGCCCCAGGCCTGGCACACACAGTGAGTACTGTCTATTAGCCATGGAGCTTCGTAATGCACAGCGAGTGTCAGTGTTCAGACAATGCAGCAAAGTATCACCAAAGAATGTAAACTGATTTGCACACATATCCTTTCAATCCTTATTTAAACAGATAGGGTAAAACTATGCATATTCTTTCATATCCAGTGTTTTTCTCTTAATAGTATATTGCTAAAAAGTTTTTATCTTGGGCCCCTCATGATGGCTCCTGCCTGTACTCCCAGAACTTTGGGAGGCCAAGGTGGTGGATCTCAAAGTCAGGAGTTAGAGACCAGCCTGGCCAGTATGGTGAAAACCCCGTCTCTTCTAAAAATACAAAAATTACACGGAGGTGGGAGCATGCACCTGTAGTCCCAGCTACTTGGGAGGTGGAGGCCAAAGAATCGCTTGAACTTGGGAGGCGGTGGTTGCAGTGAGCCAAGACTGTGCCACTGCACTCCAGCCTGGGAGACAGAGTGAGACGCTCTTTCAAAATAAAAAAGGAGGGGCGAACGATCCAAGATTGCCGATCGCTAACATCCCGGGATTGCAGTTCTCAGGGAAGGCGTGGAGAACTAGAGGACGCCACACTTTCAGACAAATTCTGGTCGCTCACGGAGCAGAAGATCCCCCAGTGGAGGAAACACACGGGGGGCCAGCGCTACTCTCGTGGCCAGCACAGCGGTTCTGCCGGCACCTTGGCGCGGCAGCTCTCGGAGCAGAGTAAACAGGTTCGGAGGACCCGCAAGGGTCCCCAGCAGGACACCAGAGCCCGGCGCAGCGGCTGTGATAGCACCTCGGCGCGGCAGCGCTCGGCGCAGAGTAAACAGGACCGGTTTCCCTTCGGACCGAGGTTTGGAACCCCGGGAAGGCAGAGTCGCCTACTACAAAGACAAGAAGGAAGCCAGACAGGAGAATCCTGGGCAGAAAAGCACCATCAGTTTTAACACCGCTGCTCTGGCCCTGGGAACTAACAACCTGGACATCCACTCAAGAGACCTAATCTGAAAGTTGGTAATTTCAAAGACAACAGGAGGATAAATTTACAATGACGGGAAGAAACCAGCATAAAAAAGCTGAGAATACTCAAAATCAGAACGCCTCTCCCTCTAAAGATGATCACAGTTCCACATCGACAATGGAACAAGGCTTGATGGAGAACGAGCGCCTCCTGATGACAGAATCACTCTTCAAGGAATGGATAATAACAAACTTCGGTGAGATAAAAGACCATGTTGTAGCCCAACGTAAAGAAACTAGGAACTTTGAAAAAAGGTTTGATGAAATCCTATTGAGAATAGACAACTTAGAGAGGAATATAAGTGAATTAATGGAACTGAAGAATACAATACAGGAACTCCGAGAAGTATGCACAGGTTTAAACACTCAAATTGTTCAAGCAGAAGAAGGGATATCAGAGGTCAAAGTCCAACTTAATGAAATAAAACGTGAAGAAAAGATTAGAGAAAAAAGAATAAAAAGGAATGAGCAAAGTCTCCAAGAAATGTGGGACTATGTGAAAAGACCAAATTTACGTTTGATAGGTGTACCTGAATGCGACGGAGAGAATGAATCCAAGCTGGAAAATACCCTTCAGGATATTATTCAGGAAAATTTTCCTAAACTAGCAAAGCAGGTCAACATTCAACCCCAGGTAATACAGAGAACACCACAAAGATATTCCTCAAGAAGAGCAACCCCAAGGCACATAATCGTTAGATTCACCAGGGTTGAAACGAAGGAGAAAATACTAAGAGCAGCCAGAGAGAAAGGTCAGGTTACCCACAAAGGCAAGCCTATCAGACTTACAGCAGATCTCTTGGCAGAAACTCTACAGGCCAGAAGAGAATGGGGGCCAATATTCAACATCCTCAAAGAACAGAACCTTCAGCTCAGAATTTCATATCCAGCCAAACTAAGCTTCACAACTGAAGGAAAAATAAAATCTTTTATGAACAAGCAAGAACTCAGAGATTTTATTACCACCAGGCCTGCTTTACAAGAGCTTCTGAAAGAAGCATTACACACAGAAAGAAACAACCAGTATTAGCCTTTCTAAAAATACACCAAAAAGTAAAGAGCACCAACATAAAGAAGAATTTATACCAACGAATGGATAAAATAGCCAGTCAACATCAAATGGCAGTAACCCTAAATTTAAATTGACTAAATCCCCCAATCAAAAGACACAGCCAAAACCCACTAGCATGTTACATCCAGACCTGTTTCACATGCAAGGATACACAAAGACTCAAAACAAAGGGATGGAGAAAGATTTACCAACCAAATGGAGAGCAAAAATAAATAATAAATAAATAAAAAGCAGGAGTTGCAATTCTCGTATCAGATAAAATAGATTTTAAAGCAACAAAGATATAGTGGTAAAAGGATCAATGCAACAACAAGAGCTAACGATCCTAACACCCAGATACGAGACTTAGATTCAATGAGACAGAAAATTAATAAGGATATCAAGGACTCAAACTCAGATCCGGAACAAGTAAACTTAATAAATATTTATAGAGCTCTCCACTTTAAATACACAAAATATACATTCTTGTCAATACCACATCACACCTACCCATAAGTTTAAATGAAACATTGATTGGCCATTTTTAATACCCAATTTTTTTCAAAATAAAGCAATATTTCCATTTACTCTCCCTCTTTCTCTTACTCTTTCTTCCTCTCCTTTACTTATTTTTTTTTCTTTCCTTCTCTCAAAAAAAAAATCAACTTTTAAACCTCTAGAGCCAGGTCGGCAATGTCTCTCTCATTGCTTGATTTCCTTCCTTCCCTTCCCTCCCTCCCTTCCTGCCTTCCTCCCCCCCCAAAAAAATAAAAATAAAAAAAATAAAAAAGGAAAGTATATACACACACACACACACACACAGACACACACATAATCTCAAAAACAAAAGATTATTTATGAAATCATTTTAAATGACAAGATAATGTTTAATTTAATGAATAATTTAATTATTACTATTGGACTTTTGGTAGATTGCATATAACATTCAAAACAAATGAAGGAGAATAAACAAGGTATTACATGTTGTAAAATAATATGATTTTATTAATCATTTTATTCAAAATAGAGAGCTATATATGTAATAGAAAATGTGTTTCTAATTATGAATGATGTTAAAAAATAGTTTAGAAATTGCTGATTTTGATTTCTGTTTCAAAATATATATATATATTTTAAAGACAGTCTCCCTCTGTCACCCAGACTAAAGTGCTGTGGCTCAATCTCGGCTCCCTTCAACCTCCGCCTCCCAGGTCCAAGTGATTTTCCTGCCTCAGCCTCTCGAGTAGCTGAGATTACAGCCACTTGCCACCATGCCCGGCTAATTTATGCTTTTAGTAGAGATGAAGTTTCTCTATGTTGGTCAGGCTAGTCTTGAATTCTTGACCTCAGATGATCCACTCGACTCAGCCTCCCAAAGTGCTGGGATTACAGGCATGAGCCACAACTCCCTGCCTAAATTTTGCAGGATAATAAACAGCCTTTTGAAGTTTCGCTGGGCACTTGTCTGGCTGTTTTTCTTTAGGTTAATACGCAAGCAATGATTCTCCCTGTGTTTCTGACCAAGATAGTGGTTTTTATCCAAATAAGTCAAGTACTCTACCTCATCCCTATGCTACTTGCGTGGAAGGAAAAAGGAGGAAAAAGCCAGTACTGTGACTGCCTACGTTTCCCCCAGCATGGCCCCAGGAAGGCAGGAAGGGAGGGAAGAAGGACGGTAGGGAGGAAGGAAGGGATGAAGGAAGGAAGGAAGGGAGGAAGCGGGGAGGGAGGGAGGGAAGGGAAGGAAGGAAATCAAGCAATGAGAGAGACATTGCCGACCTGGCTCTAGAGGTTTAAAAGTTGATTTTTTTTTTTGAGAGAAGGAAAGAAAAAGACATGGGGCAGCCGAGACCTGGAAGCTGTTCAAGGGTGCCAGGCCCTGTCTGTCTGTGCTCACTCACCTTCCTCAGGACCCGCATGGGGGATGGCACTGACTTTACGTGCTGCTGCAGCTGCTCCTTGGTGAGCTGGCCCTGGCCACGGGACAGGAACTGTGGAGTCAGGACAATAGAGGGCTTTGCCTCCTGCAAAATAGGAACAGAAGCTCACGATGAGTGCCAATCTATTAGATAATTAAATGTTTAAAATGTTTGTTGAATGAGAAACACGGTGATGCTTGAGTCTATGGTGGTCAAGAGCACGGGGCCTCAGAAAAGGTCAGAGCCAAGGTCAAATTCCTGTACTTTGGATTTCTACTTCATACCATGCAAAATAACTTTACCCCTCTTCACCTCAGTTTCCTTCTGTGTGAAATGGGAACAGTAAGTTTCATTCCTCACTCAGATTCTGTCAAGGATTCATGAGATAATATGTCTAAAACATCCAACTCATTTAAATGTATCATCATTTCTGTCATAACTAGTGGGATCAATTTCACTATTATTGGATGTACAGTTCTGTGCCTGAAACCTAAAAAAGAGAAAATCTTATGTCTAAAACGTGTCCGTGATTTGTCATTTTTATATTATTAATCATAACTGTGTTTAATCACACAAGGCCTTGTACACAGCAGGTGCTCAGTATACACTTGTGGAATCAACGCATGTGGGCTCTGCAGCCGCACTGTTAGGTCCTGTTCAGCCTCCACCACTTACTGAGTGATCTGGGCAAGATAATTCGTGTCTTTATGCTTCCGTGTCCTTCTCTATAAAAAATATATAGTAAGAATCCTTCCTCCTTAGGTTGTTGCCAGGGGTGAATAATTTGGCAAATAGTAGGGGCTTGTTAAACATCAGCTGTGATGAACTCCTTCCAGAGCTTCCTTTTCAGAGCCACAGATGAGTCCATAGTGCCGCCTGGTGACCCTAGACTGTAAGTACACATGATCACCAGTATGCTGGCTCCCCACCACAGGCCCCAGACTGGGTAGTCACCGCATGGAGGTTTCTGCTGCATCTGCCTTCTCCGGGCTCACATAAAGACTTTTGTATTTTCCTCCTCTCACCCCTGCAGATGAGGTTCAGGTTGCCCACCACAGAGGGTGATCCACACAGGGCAGTGACCACCTGTGCCAGCCCTGTGAGGTAGCTGGAGGTTTCCTTCCTTCTCATGCTCTGGGCAGATGCCAGGGCTGGGGTGACCCATGTCCTCAAGTTTCATGCTTTGGAGGCTCACATTTTCTGTTGACAAGGAAGACAAAGGTCACAGGAAGCCAGAGACCTGTGACCTCTCTGTGCCGTGGGCCCGAACTATAAAGACGTGAACATTCTACGCTAAAAGCCCAAGACTCGGTGCTCCGCAAGGCTTCTCACCTCACAGCCTCTGCTGAGAGAAGATGAATACTATGTCCTCCCAGAGATTTGGGAGCTTGTAGCAAGCAGCCTCCCCAGCACAAAATCTCTTGGAAACCTCAAATTGTATCTAAAACATTCATGCATATTTTACATCCTATTTCCTATATGTCAGCATGTTTTAGGAAAAAACACCCTCAATTTCCTAAATATGCAAGAGAAATGGATATTGTAGGACAATGTGACTTTTAAAAACATGTTATTTAGGCCGGGCATAGTGGCTCATGCCTGGAATCTCAGCACTTTTGGAGTCTGAAGTGGGCAGATCACCTGAGATCAGGAGTTAGAGACCAGCCTGACCAACAAAAAGAAACCCCATCTCTCCTAAAACTACAAAATTGGCTGGGTGTGGTGGCGCATCCCTGTAATCCCAGCTACTCAAGAGGCGGAGTCAGGAGAATCCCTTCAACCTGGGAAGCGGACATTGCAGTGAGCCCAGATCACACCATTGCACTCCAGCCTGGGTAACAGAATAAGACACCATCTAAAAACAAAAACAAAAATGGAAAAAAAAACCCCACAAAACCTGAGTCTCAGCCAAGTGGGGTGGTTCATGCCTATAATCCCAGCACTTTGGGGGGCCGAGGTGGGTGAATCACCTGAGGTCAGGAGTTCAAGACCAGCCTGGCTAACAGGGTGAAATCCCATCTTTACTTAAAAATACAAAAATAAGCCGGGTGTGGTTGTAGGCACCTGCAGTCCCAGCAACTCTGGAGGTTGAGGCAGGAGAATTGCTTCAACCCAGGAGAAGAAGGTTGCAGTGAGCTGAGATCACAGCATTGCACTCCAGCCTGGGCAGCAAGAGCAAAACTCCATTTCAAAAAACAAACAAAAAAACGGAGTCTCAGAATACTGAAGCACTTTGTCCAATGTGACTCAGCTAGTAACGGTTGACACCTTGCATCCAATCAGAGCCCATCTCATTCTAAAGGCCATGCTATGAGTTCTCTGGCCCATGGAGAATAATTTTAACACAATCAATGACATTTCTACACAACAATGTTCTTGTGTCAAGTGCAAGAGTGCCTCCTATACCTCCTATAACACTGGCTTTCCAGGCACTAAAGATGCTATTCTAATATGTAATCATGTAGCCAATGGAGATAAGACCAATGTCATTGTGTGTGTATACCCATAACCCTGTACACACTCTTCCTTTGTCTGACGAAATTCAAGTATTGATTTTTGATTACGTAGCAAAACTGAGCTTTAAAGGGTTAAGGTTTCACCAGGCACGGTGGCTCACGCCTGTAATCCCAGCTCTTTGGGAGGCTGAGGTGGATGGATCATGAGGTCAAGAGATCGAGACCATCCTGGCCAACATGGTGAAACCCTGTCTCTACTAGAAACACAAAAATTAGCTGGGCAAGGTAGCGTGTGCCTGTAGTCCCAACTACTTGGGAGCCTGAGGAAGGAGAATTGCTTGAACCAGGGATGCAGAGGTTGCAGTGAGCTGAGGTCATGCCACTGCACTCCAGCCTGGTGACAGCGGAAGACTGTGTGTGTGTGTAAGGGTTAAGGTTTTTATATCCAAGGAACTGTCTGTATTGCTTTTGAAGTCTCTGGGTAAATGAATATTCTTCCAATAGTCACCTGTGATTCTGATTTTATCAAGTGTTTTCAAACTTGACATCTTTGATGGGTTTCTCCAGCATCAAAACCTTAAATCAAGTTTTTTGGCTTAAAATTAACCTTGGGATTTTTCAGCTGGGTACCTCAGGGAGTCTAAAGAATGTGTCTCTCTTCTTGTAAAGATATTAAATGATTCAATGTAGTTGGTAGATTGTATGGGTGGGCATTGTCAAACGTGGTGACATTAGATCTCATCTCAGTTATATTTATGGGTATGTTGCTGATACACATGTTTCAAAAATTATATATATATTTATGTTAATTGAACATGTTATGATTTCTAATTTTGATTGTTATGCTAAATATCTGCTAAAGTTATATTTGTGTCAACGTGTTATTGATGTCTGGGCATGGTCACTCATGCCTGTAATCCCAGCATGTTGGGAGACGGAGACAGGTGGATCAACAGAGTTCGGGAGTTCAAGACCAGCCTGACCAACACGGTGAAACCCCGTCTCTACTAACAATACAAAAATTAGCCGGGCGTGGTGTCAGGCACCTGTAACCCCAGCTACTCAGGAAGTTGAAACAGGAGAATCACTTGATCCCAAGAGGCGGAGGTTGCAGTGGTCTGAGATCTCGCCCATTGCATTCCAGTCTGGGCAACAACAGTGAAACTCCATCAAACAAAAAGAAAAAAAGTACAAAATTTAGCCTGGCATGGTGGCATATGCCTGCAGTCCCAGCTACTTGGGAGGCTGAGACAGGAGAATTTCTTGAACCCAGGGGGTGGAGGTTGCAGTGAGTTGAGATGGTATAATTGCACTCCAGCCTGGGCAACAGAGCAAGACTCCATCTCAAAAAAGAACAACAAAAAAAGTTATTACTGTATTCGGAGGATAATATAAAATTTATGTAAGTCTGGTGGTCCTGAGGTGATGCTGTCAGTCAGCATTCTGGTTACTCTCTTAAAATGCTGCACATAAGACTACTAACTAAATTTCCTTGTGGATTGGAAATGTGCAGCAGATTTTCATCAGAACTATTGATTCCATCATCCACATTTACTATTTTGAATTCTCCTCTAAAAATATCTGTAATCAGCCACAGTCTAAATTCAATTTTTTTTTTTTTAATTCAGAATCTCGCTCTGTCACCTATGCTGGAGTGCAGTGGCACCATCTCTGCTCACTGCAACCTCTCTCTCCTGGTTTCAAGGTATTTTCCTGCCTCAGCCTCCCAAGTAGCTGGGACTACAGGTACCTACCGCCACGCCCAACTAATTGGTGGCAGTCGAGACGGTTTCACCATATTGGCCAAGCTGGTCCCCAACTCCTAACCTCATGATCCACACCCACCTCAGCCTCCCAAAGTGCTGGGATTACAGCCGTGAGCCACTGTGCCTGGCCCCCAAATTTGCTTTTCACGGAAAAAAACTCTACCAAGTCCTCTTGAACGCAGGTTTCTGATAATTCACAACAATGAACTACCCAGGCTTCACAACTCTGCAATATAGGCATGTCAGAAACTCACATGTACACCCCCTCAATACATTAAAAATAAATTTAAAAAAATCAAAGGCCCGTGTCCAGTGGCTCACGCCTGTAATCCCAGCACTTTGGGAGGCCAAGGTGGGCAGATCACTTGTGGTCAGAAGTTTGAGACAAAGCCTGGCTAACACAGTGAAACCCCGTCTCTACTAAAAATACAAAAATTAGCCAGGCATGGTGGTGCATGCCTGTAATCCCAGCTGCTAGGAAGGCCGAGGCATGACAACTGCTTGAACCTGGGAGCCAGAGATTGCAGTGAGCCAAAATTGTGCCACTGCACTCCAGCCTGGGTGACAAAGTGAGACACCATCCTCAAAAATAAAAATAAACTACAAAACAATTTCTAGAACTCTAATAAGGAAACTTTAGTGTTCAAAAAACTGCTAAGCGACATGAAGCAAAACAAAAAAAAACATAAAATTAAGATAATGTCTTTATAACTATAACTTGTAGTTAAAAACATTGTTGATTTATTACTTTTTTTGTGTTTTTGAGATGGAGTCTCACTGTGTCACCCAGGCTGGAGTGCAGCGGTAATCTCGGCTCACTGCAACCTCCACCTCCTGAGTTAGTGATTCTCCTGCCTCAGCCTTCCAAGTAGCTGGGACTGTAGGCGCTTGCCACCGCCCAGCTCATTTTTGTATTTTTAGTATCCTGATGGGGTTTCACCTTGTTGGCCAGGCTGGTCGCAAGCTCCTGATTTCAGGTGATCCCCACCCCTCCCTCCCCCGTCCCCCACGCCTGGGACTCCCATAGTGCTGGGATCAGAGGCGTGAGCCACTGCACTGGCCCTTGTTTTGTTTTCTAGATTTAAGAAGCGTTTATTTCATACGTTATCTATAATTTACACCGATTTGGTAAAGCACACTTTTGTGAACAGAGGTGGCTGGACGCGTTTGTTTTTCCTCCCTACTTGATCCCTCCAAAGTCTGGAACCTATTCATAAATATTCTTATTTTCTGTTCATATGTTCTCATTATCAGCAGGCGATAATCAGAAAGAGTGGTTCTATCGTCAGCCTTTGACTGAAGCATCCAGTTTAAGAATATGCAGAAAATGCCTGGCCCCGAGTTTGCAGACTCACAGTGAGGAAGAAAGTGTCCCTCCCTGCAGGCCCGAGAGCCTTAGAGCTTTCCGGGGAGCAGCATGGCAGGGAGGGTCCCGGCCGCTGCCAGGGGGCAGGAACCAGGGGGCGCAGGCCTGGGGCGACCCTCCTGCCGGCGGGACCGTTCTGCTTCCTGGCGTCTTTCTCCTCCGCCCCACCGGCTGCTGGGGGAGCGGAAGCTGCCCGGTGCCTGGAGGTCGCTCCATCGCCTCCTCCCTCAGCAGAAAGGGAGAGGCGGTGGCAGCTTCCCGGAGCGGGGTGGGCGGCCTGAGGCGAGAGCCCGGCTGACCCCCGCGGGGAATACGGCGACCCGGGCAGCAGAGGCCTCGGCAGCTGCACCGCTAACTTCCCGGAGGAGCAAAGGCGCCTCGCGAGAAGATGCAGCTGAGTGGAACCCCGCCCTGCCGCCCCAGAAGTGGGCAGGAGCGACGCAGACAGGAAGCCCCAGCAGGGCGCTGGGCAACAACAAGCGCCACAGCAACCTCCAGGCGGCGCCACACCAGCCTCTAGAAGGCGCCTTACCAACGTCCAGGCGGCGCCACACCAGCCTCTAGAAGGCGCCTTACCAACGTCCAGGCGGCACCCACACTAGCCTCCAGGGGGCGCCGCACCAATCTCCAGGCGGCACCCACACCAGCCTCCAGGGGGCGCCACACCAACTTCCAGGCGGCGCCCACACCAGCCTCCAGGGCTGCACCTGCCGGCACCACATTGGAGCGGGAACTGTGCTGCCGACCCCGCCACACTGACCGGGGCGGCCCAGGCCCACAGCAGCCGGAGGACAAGACCATGCCCACTGCTCCCAGGTGATGAGGAGGAGCAGGATGGCACCCTAGAAAAGTGCAAGAGCTCAGAGCTTGGGTCCCGTGCCAGGAAAGGCCAGGAAGAGCCAGGAAGATGGAGAGATGGAGCTGGAGGAGCAGCAGCGGGGAAGGAGCATGCGCCGCCTCCCGCAGGGTCAGCATCCTCTGGGGGGGTTAGAGCATGAAGAGGATGAAGCAGCAGAAAGAGCAGAAACGAGAAGGTGCAATGACACAGCGGAGCACAGTGCAGAATCCAGCCCCAGGACTCCAGTCAAGGCTGGCTTTAATTCCACCTCACACCCCCACCCCTAATCAGAGACGATCAGGGGAGAGGGAGGACCCAAGGAACACTGGAACCTGAAGGGCGGGAATCTGAGGCCAGGACTGATTGTGGGAAATGGTGGGAATCAGGAAAGGAGAAAGTGAGGCAGAATGGAGGGCAGGGGGTGGGGGGCAGTGAGCTGCGTTAGGAAGGATTAGAAACCAGAAGCTTAGGAAGAATCCAGAAAGGAATTGTCCTTAAGAAGGTGCGTGCTGCAGCTGGGCACGGTGGGAGGCCGAGGTGGGCGGATGACCTGAGGCCAGAAGTTGGAGAACAGCCCGGCCAACATGGCAAAACCCTGTCTCTACTAAAAATACAAAAATTAGTCTGGCATGGTGGTGTGCACCGCTAATCCCAGCTACTCAGGAGGCCGACAGAGAGAGTTGCTTGAACCTGGAAGGCGGAGGTTGCAGTAAGCTGAGATCACACCACGTCACTCTAGTCTGGGCAACAAGAGGAAAACTTGGTCTCAAAAAAAGATTAATTAATGAATGAGGAAATGTCTTGGAAACCGTTGTTCTCACGGTTTGGGGGTTTTGTTGTTTGTTGTTGTCGCTCTATCTACGCGCATATATATATATTTTCTTTTATGACAGAGTCTTGCTCTGTCACTCAGGCTGGTATGATCTCAGTTCACTGCAACCTCCACCTCCTGAGTTCAGGCGACTCTCCTGCCCCAGCCTCCCAAGTAGCTGGGATTACAGGGGCAGGCCATCACATCCAGCTTTTTTTTTTTTTGATGTGGAGTCTCACTCTCTTGCCCAGGCTGGAGTGCAGTGGCACCGTGTCGGCTCGCTGTAACCTCCGTCTCCTGGGTTCAAGCAATTCTGCCTCAGCCTCCCAAGTAGCTGAGATTACAGGCGCCCACCACCATGCCCAGCTAATTTTAGATTTTTAATAGAGACAGGGTTTCACTGTGTTGACCAGGCTGGTCTTGAACTTCTGATTTCAGGTGCTCTGCCCGCCTCAGTCTCCTAAAGTGCTGGAATTACAGGCGTGAGCCACAGAAAATATTTTTAAAATTTTTCACACCTGTAGTCCCACCTACTTCAGAGTCTTAGGCAGGAGGATCACTCAAGCCCAGGAGGTTGAGGCTGCAGTGAGCCATGTTCATACCACTGCACTCCACCGAGTGACAGAGTGAGACCCTGTGTCAAACAAAAACCTCAATGGGTCTCCATTGCCTATGCAGTCACCCAAGTAGCCAAGATCTAGGGAAATGGTGTCTTTCACAAATGCGGATGTATAAAAAGGACATCTCTTCATTTATTGAGGAAGTTTCAATGTTTTTTACGTACACATACAATGCTTACATACAAAGTGAACGTTGTGAGGCTGGGTGTGGTGACTCATTCCTGTAATCCCAGCACTGTGGGAGACCGAGGCAGGCAGATCACTTAAGTTCAGTAGTTTGAGACCAGCCTGACCAAAGTGGAGAAACCCCATCTCTATTAAATATACAAAAATTATCTGGGCGTGGTGGCAGGCGCCTGTAATCCCAGCTACTCGGGAGGCTGAAGCAGGAGAATCGCTTGAGCCCGGGAGTGGGAGGTTGCAGGAGCCAAGATCGTGCCACTGTACTCCAGCCTGGGTGACACAGTGAGACTCCCTCTCAAGAAACAAACAAAGTTAACACTGTGATAATGCACTTTTGTGGAGTTGAGTTTCTAATGTCCAAGGCAGCAGAGGAAATGTCCGCTGTAGCTCTAGGAGAGACCGGTCTGCCTTCTGGATTTGTTCTGTCTGGGTCCCTGGCTGATGGATGGTGCCCAGCTCAAGGGCAGATCTTCCCTCCCTAGTCCACTCGAACTCACAGAGTCATCTCCTTGGGAAACACCCTCTCAGACACACCCAAAATCATCTTTTACCAGGTTCCCACGTGTTTTTTCATTCAGTCAACATGACACCTACAATTTTGGGTTTTTTTTTTTTTTTTTTTTTTTGGACAGGGTCTTACTTGGTTACCCAGGCTGGAGTGCAGTGGCTGGAACACACCCCACTGCAGCCTCAACCACACATCAAGCGATCCTCCTGCCTCAGCCTCCGAAGTAGCTGGGACTACAGGCACGCACCACCACACCCAGCTAATTTTTGGTAGAGATGGACTTTCGCCATGTCGGCCAGGCTGGTCTTGAACTTTTGAACTCAAGCAATCTGCCTGCCTTGGCCTCCCAAAATTCTGGGATTTCAGGATTTCAGGCATGGGCCACCTTGCCTGATTGACACCTAAAATTAAGTCCTCAAGCCCATCTGTTGTCAACAAGGCACCCTTCTCTATCTCCTTAACACATTCTTAATTTATAAATAAATAACAAGGTAATTGTTCACCTGTCATGATTCAAGTAACATGATGCAACTACCTGGCATACAATCGGAAACACACTCATGCCTTCCCCAGAATTCATCTCTCAGGATTTCAACATGACAGATTTAAATTCTGGGGTATTGTAATTTTTGAGATTTTAGATGTGAGCGATTTTGATCTTTTGGGGTTTAACCTATTTTACAGCTGAGCAGACTGAGCCGCAGAGAGGGGATGTGAACTGCCCAAGGTCTCACAGGTGGTGAGGGTTTGTAGCTGGAACTTGAATCAGGGTCTGCCTTGAAAGGAGATTCCACACTGAGCCTCCTCCTGAGAAGCCTGCTCTCCGTGGTTTGGAGAAAATTCATGGTCAGTAAACTGTGTCTCAGGAAACTGTTCCCCTGATGCATCAATCAGGGTAAACAGGATTATGATGCAGTAACAAGCAACCTCCATTCTCTCTTTTTTCTGTTTGTTTTTTAGAGATGGAGTCTCGCTCTGTCACCCAGGCTGGAGTGCAGTGGTGCAACATTGGCTCACAGCAACCTCCATCTCCCAGTTCAAGCAAGATTCCTGCCTCAGTCTCCTGAGTAGCTGGGATTACAGGCATGCCTCACCACACCCAGGTAATTTTTGTATTTTTAGTAGAGACAGAGTTTCACCATGTTAGCCAGGCTGGTCTTGAACTCCTAGCCTCAAATGATCCTCCAGCCTTGACCTCCCAAAGTGCTGGGATTACAGGCATGAGCCACTGCACCTGGCACAACCCCAATTCTCATAGTTTACAACAACAAAGGTTGATTTCTGTCCCACATGGCACATCCACAGCAGCCTAACTGATTCGTCTGCATTGAAAGTATCAAGAGTCCTTTGGCAAAAAGAAAAGAGATGCCTGACTCTGAGAGTTTCTTGTAAAAAGTTTCCCAAACTCCTCACCTCAGGCGATCCGCAGGCCTCAGCCTCAGCCTCCCAAAGTGCTGGGATTACAGGTGTGAGCCACTGTGCCTGGCCAGGTGATCCACAGGTCTCAGCCTCCCAAAGTACTGGAATTACAGGCATGAGCCACCGTGACCATCCATTCTGTCACCAGATAGAGTTATGATCTAGTAGGGAGACGTAGATGTTAAACAAAATTATCACACAGGCCGGGCATGGTGGCTCATGCCTGTAATCTCAGCACTTTGGCAGGCTGAGGCCTGCGGATCACCTGAGGTCAGGAGTTTGAGACCAGCCTGGCCAACATGGTGAAACCCCATCTCTACTAAAAATACAAAAATTAGCCAGGTGTGGTGGCGGGTGCCTGTATTCCCAGCTACTTGGGAGGCTGAAGCAGGAGAGTTGCTTGAACATGAGAGGCAGAGATTGTGGTGAGCTGAGATCATGTCACTGCATTCCAGTCTGGGCAACAGAGTGAGACTTTAAAAAAAAAAAGTAGACCAGGCGTGGTGACTCATGTCTGTAATTCTTTCTTCTTCTTTCTTTCAATAACCAGTCCATGGTTTCACTTTCTTTACTATAAGAAATGCTGGCCAGGCGTGGTGACTCATGCCTGTAATTCCAGCACTTTGGGAAGCCGAGGCAGGTGGATCACTTCAGGTCAGGAGTTCAAGACCAGCCTGACCAACATGGTGAAACCCTGTGTCTGGTTAAAAAAAAAATTACAAAATTAGCTGGGCGAGGTGGTGCACGCCTGTAATCCCAGCTACTCGGGAGGCTAAGGGAGGAGAATTGCTTGAACCCGGGAGGCGGAGGTTTCCGTGAGCCGAGATCTCGCCATTGCATTTCACACTGGGCAACGGGAGCAAATCTCGGTCTCAAAAAAAAGGGAAGGAAAAGAAGAAATGGTGTTGTTGAAGAGTCCCCTGAAAAAGGAAATGAAATAAGCTTGAGACGAAGACCTCGAATCAAGCAGTTGTCATTTAACAGGACACATCCTGTTTCCTTCTATTCTATGTCTCGGCTGAAGTCTCGAAGTGTGCAAAGAGTCCACTCATTCCAGGAAGATAAGTCAGACCAAAGAGAAAATTCTCCAGTCCAAAGTATTCAATCGCCTAAGAGTCTTCTTTCTTTCATCTGACACAAGCCTGAAGAAGAAAATGTCATCTATTTTCCTGGTAGGAGATTCATGCCCAGATTGTCCACCAGGTGGAGACCTGCACCAGCTCTCTCTGACATCTAGGGTTCTAGGAATCTTCTTTTGCACAGTGGCTCTTTTATGTCTCTTGGACTTTGCCTATGGAGGTCTCTGCCTAACACGCCTTCTCTCCACGTCTCACTATTATCTTCCTGCTTTATATATTTATTTGTTTTATTGTTTGAGAAACTGACTTTGTCACCCAGGCTGGAGTGCAGTGGTGCAGTCAC